CCTAATAAACCCTAAAACCCTAACCCTAAAACCCTAATAAACCCTAATAAACCCTAATAAAAACCCTAATAAACCCTAAAAACCCTAAAATTATACAGGGTGGTACTTCACCATGCATTATCTTCAAAGGCAAGGTCCATATTGAAATATGGTACAAAGATGACGCCTTACCACACGACTGGAGGATTAAAGTTAGTGCCAATGGCTGGATAACTGATAAAATTAGACTACAATGGCTTCAAAAACTCTTTATCCCAGCAACTACTAGCCGTACGACTGGCAGATATCGGCTGTTGATTCTTGATGATTATGGAAGTCATTTGACTCCCTAATTTGACCAGATATGTATAGAACATGATATTATACCAATCTGCATGCCAGCACACTTATCACATCTTTTACAGCCTCTTGATGTTGGGTGTTTTGCACCTCTAAAGCGTGCGTACGGGTGACTAGTTGAGAATCAGATGCGGGTTGGTTTTAATTATATTAACAAGCTCGACTTTCTTGAGGCCTATCCTAACGCCCGTACGGAAGCCTTTAAGCCAGAGAATATTCAGAATGGCTTTGCAGCAGCTGGGCTAGTTCCTTTACAGCCAGAACGTGTGCTATCACAGCTGAATATATGTTTGAAGACCCCTACACCACCCCCAAGTCGATCAACTACCTCTGCACCTAAAACGCCGTACAATCTCAAGCAGTTGGATAAGCAAGCATCTACAATCAAAAAACTCTTGCGAAATCGTACGCAGAGTCCTTCTGCCCAACAGAAACAGCATTAAATCAGCTTGTTAAGGGGTTTGAAATAGCTCTTAATAGAGCTGCTATTCTTACAAAGGAGAACCAGGATCTACGGGCTGCACATGAAAAAAAGCTTCAAAAAAGAGGACGATCAAAAGCACAGATTGCTTCTACAGAGGGCCTCTCAATTAAAGAAGGGCATGCTCTTGTACAAAGCAGGAATCAGATAGAAGAGGTCATACAGACCAGGCCTGTTGTACAAGAACCAGATGCACCAGATACATTGCAGCCTCGCGTACGGGCGCCCCCGCGATGTAGTGATTGCCATGTTATTGGGCATAGAAGGTTCCAGTGTCTAAATCGTGATCGTATTTAGTCTTTATCTAGAAATGCATGTTTTGGTGGCTTTAGATCGCTTTTAAATTTCAACCATGGTAAGAGGTGATCCGCTCGCTTGCGTGATCCGCTCGCTTACCGATTACGTTAGCCTGATCTCTAAGGCTAACATCTCATTGTTCCACGTCTCCCTACGTATCTCTAACATTAATCATTATCTTGAGTAGTCCCAGGGCTTCTTAGCCCGTCACATTAAGGGAAAATAATACTGGTAATAGAAAGATAAACAGAGTAAGTAGAATAATATAAGCACCATATGACACTGAGCTGGGCTGCCGTCACACTATACAGAAGATAGAAACATAAAATAACGCTATACCTTAATTTCGATTTCGTCATTCAATCTTGCCCGAAGCCCCAATGATAATCGTAATTTGGCCCACCTTCAACATCAAACACCACTATACGGGTCACTGTGAACTTTGTTTTTCGCTCCTTCTGATTCGCGTTAATGCCCTCAGCCCCATTATACTTCCTAGTCACCTCATCATACCCCCCTGTCTGACATATGGCGGTGTCTGTGCCTCCCAGAAAAGTCGCCTGTCTTGTGGCGGAGTCAATCTCCACTCCCACCTTCGATCCTTTGGGATCACCTATACAATTAGGGTGGTCGACATCCCCTATGGCACTGTCATATAGTTGAGACGAAGACATGTTGGCCTCTCCATTCCAGCGAAACAGACTGAAGCTGGGCTGAAGTTGGAACAAAAGTTGTGGAAGGGAAATCCTCGAGTTTTCTACCTCTTCCAGCTGCTTTCCCTCTTCTGCAGCAGGGGTCTGCGTACGGCCAGGGAAGAATGCCCCTACAACTACCTTTTTCGAGTCCTGGGCCTGATGCCCCAGGAAAAGAACAAGCTGCGCCCGACGGTTCGGATCGTCAAGGAAAGCTTGATGGAGTATGTGACTCAGATCAAGAGTGTCTGAAAAGCTGTGTATCCAGTCATGTTGCTTTTGAAATGTGATCAAATTGACCTTTCGTCCTAATTCTGTCCTTTCGTGAGCCTGGAATGGAGGGACAAATAATGATACTGCACGAAGAATTCCATCCAAAGTGATGTCTGGAGTTGATTCACTTTCCAAGTTTGGTATTTGTGTAGGGGTGCAAGGCTGAAAAATGACGGCCCAGAGCTGATGAAAGCACTGCTCTAGATTTGGCTGGTGCCAATAATATTGTTAGATTTACAAGTGGGAGGAAAGAAAAACGAAAAGGTGATTTGATCTTACCAGGATATGTAAAGCCCGTAGTACTGAGTCGGGGGCCAGATATTCGTCATGGCCATGACAGAATGAGCGTGCCAAGATAGTAGCCAACTCCTCTGTCTCCGGACTATTTTCCCCAAAGTAGCCGTAGTGGAGTTCCCGGCCCCAGGTCGACTTATGGACTCGTAGCCTTATTATTAGACAGACCAAAGACGCCAGGTCATTCAGCTTGATCTGGTATTGGTCTGTTCGTCCCTTGAGATGTTCCGCCAACGGCTTGAGCTGGTTAAGCGATGGAAACAGTTTGGGATGGGCAGGGAATATTGGAAGTAATGCCTGCATCACATCATCGGTGATTAAAGTGTCATAACTTGCACCATGTGGATCCGAGCTCGACTGATCATCAATCAAGCTAATGCCTCGGAAGATTCGATTAATCCTAAGCATGCAATTACAGGGCTCATTACTCCACCCCCAAGAATGGCCGTGTCCATCATCATTTACGGTTCCAAGAAGCCGTGTACCTTGGAAAGACAGCAGGATCAACCCCTGCTCAAAGGCTGGCAGCTCCAGCTTTCTCTCGCTCGCATCAGGGAGTGGAAACGGGTGATAGGCGTAGAAACAAAAGCAAGACCACAGGACATTGATAGCCGTGTCTGGAATGTTCGTGTCCGGATGGGTTCTGGCAAGGTGGTTTTGGAAACTCTTCTTCGTCCAGTCTGACACGGTGTCCAGTACCTCGTTAGCATTATCCAGTATGACTGTCGTGCAACTAAGGGTGACTTACAAGGCTGCTTCTGGGGAGAGTCCCTGATACTAGACGCGGAGAACACAGCTTGCGGTGCGACTGAGGTGGTAACCTCCCGGACAAGGCAGGCGTGCAAGTCTGAAAGAACAGTGTCTGGATGTCTTTGGTCAGGTGCATTGTTCATCCTTGGATTTTACCAGCCATTGACTGACTGACCAGGTGTGGTAGTGCGAAGAAACTTGTCGATCTTCTTCTTCCTATCTCCGAAAAGTATATGGAACGCTACCTTGTCCAAGACGCCCATCATGACTGCTGCTTTTCTTGTTACTCACAGAGCGTGATTCGTAGAATGGTGAGTTCAAACAGATTTATGGATCGCCGTGTTCTCCGTCCGTGGGGGCCACGCCAATTATAGGAAGGCGGGGCTGACTGAGCATCATTGCACAGCCTCAATAGTACTAGTTGATGGCGGCTGTGTAAAACCACCCAATCAGACCGGAGATACGCTGTTGGTGAGGCTGATCTCTTCAACAGCAATTTGCTTTTCTGGACTTGGCTCCATAAACCAGTAGATCATTCATAGGAATCATGCAAGCTGGAGTGCTTGAATTGTTTGTGTGACGCTATGCTCAAGCATTCTATACTATCTAAAGGGATAAGTGTTAACAGGATATTATCAGCGGAAAGGATCTCCCCCTCCCATTAGGCCTTGATCTTTTTGTACAACTTCATGACAAAATCCCGACAATTGTTCGTCAGCAGATTATATCCCTTCTTGTTCATCTCTGTTGCAATCGCTTTGCCATCCCTTTCGATGTCCTCGTATGTTAAGCCCGACTTAATCTTGCCAAGCACCTCGTATGAGGCTTTCGTCCAACTATACCAAGTGGCGTCACTACGATCTGTAAACTCGATGGTTTTGTCATCAAGTTGGATGTCGTAGCATCCCGAGTCAAATTTGAGAATGACGGTGTTTCCTTCTGTTCTCTCCGTGACATAACCTACAGCGATCAGGTAATGATCGGGGTAGGACTTGCCGGATACCTCATTCCGTTCACTCCCTGAGGAAATATTATATCTCGTTAGTTCCAACAGTACATTATTCCCAGAAGCATACCAGAGATGCTAAGAACAGTGGATAGTCGGGACATACTTATTTTGATGGCATAGCCCTTGCCAACCTCGGGTGTTTTCCCCAGGGCGCTATGCAGCTTTTTATATTTGTCGTCCGTCTTGGTGGCCGTAGCACGTTTCACCTGAGTTGCGGGCTGGCGTGTAGTCTTCGATGGAGTATCACTCGAATCTCCGCTGGATGAGATTGTGATGACAGGGATCGATTCAAGCGACTCGGAGCCATCGATTCCTGGCAGGGCCAATTCATCGGTAGTCTCTTCATCCTCATCATCCTCGCGGCAGAACTGGGATTTATCTAGTTAGGGCCTGATAAAAAGCAATAGTGGGAGTGATTAGCACCAACCCGGCAGTTTGGAACATCCGCAACGGGGACAGAGGTTGGTTTTCCATTCGCTTCAGTTGTTTTAGAGATCTGCGTCGTTGTCGGAATATCGGCTATAGCAACGGACACCGGATCAACTAGGTTTTGGGGGATAGCAGCCGCGGAGACCCCGGACGCCAGAAACACTGAAGCCAAAGCGAAGGCCTTCTGAGCGGTGATGTTTCTGAGCCACATCTTGGTAGGCGAAATATGGTTGGCGATGGTATATGGAGACAAAGAATGACGATAATGAAAAACAACGAGCGAAGTGTATAGTATGGAGTAACAACGAGAGTAATGAGGGTAATAGCAAATGAATGAGTGGATAGCAGTAGAATGAGTGGATGATAAGAGCAACTAAGAGGAGTAGGCCGGGCATTTATAGCCATGTTGCCCTCCTATATGTCGAGACGCTTCATCAGAAGGAATGGGGCGGTTTCACCAGATCCAGGGTAGGATTGTGTGGCACCAGATTATCCTGTGACATTATTGACTCAATAGAGAGGTTTGTAAGATGTCGTCTCTAGACTGAGGAAGTCAATTGGCTAGTCGATCAATGGCTGGGGCCTGCTTCTGCAATGGGGGCCAACAAAGCCAATTTGGAATGGAGAGGAGATGAAGAGTTCCACCAAGCATTGGGGGCGGGTGGCTTCGGTATTTATTATTACCTCATGAGGAAAATGACCAAATGCAGAGTAGTAGCTATGCTGCTGAAGAAATGTACAGTCAACCTCAGCGACACAAGTCACTACAATGCAACGAGTAAGCCCACTATGACATGTGCTGCTGTCCGATGCAACACACCATAAGAAAAACTGTTCATATCCATTGACACCTTAGCTGATGGACTGGTTACAGTCACCCGCGTGTTTCTCTCCCTATGAGGGAGTGAAGAGCAAGGATGATCCGCAACCTTCCGGTGATTTGGCCCCTGGTGTGGGAATTTCGGAACAGGATTTCCAACCCGTCAATTTGCAGGGGCGCACAGCCTGGGGTCTAGTGCACAAGGACAGGTCACTCCGGTGATCATTGGTCAAGATTCCTGATGGTTCTGCAAGAAGAGAAGCCTGTCTATGAAAGCCGCTGTAGGGTTTACCTGTACTCGTGGTCAGTAGGACGTCCAAGGGCGATCACAGTTAAGAATATACATCGAACTACTAGTTGGGTAGGTCGAATCCAGTCCCATCCTTCATTGAGGCCGGTACGATCCGATGCGCCACTAGCTTTGTTACATTGAGATGCTGCCTGAAGGAAGTGAGGAAGTGGGCCTTGTGGCATTGTTCGTCCGCCGCCCCCATGCAGAGGAGCGGATTTGGGCACACAAGGCTGAATTGGACCGATTCCATCCTCGGCCCCCACGGGTACCACGGGTACCACGGCCGCCGACCGCTCGCCCCGACGGGGATCACGTGGGTTTCTAGTCTACTGGAAACCAGGTCCAGGGAAGGGAGCTGCTTTCTTCCCTTTCTCCCTTACTCTCTATCTAACAGTGTCTCTTCTGAGCACTAACTCTGGATCAATTTATCACCAAAACCTCGATGACATGACCTCACCCACGCCGTCTGTTCGATCGTCATCGGAGAGAGATATGGTCCTGCCAGTATGGCGGCACGGTCGTATCATCTTCTGTAAAACACTACAGGCACGGTGAAGACGTCCCCTACCACCCACTCACTCTACCACTGAGGCTGCCCGTTATCACGCATCTTACAGCTCCTTTCTGCTGCCGAGCTCGCTACTGAGATCGGTGCAGAATTTGACTGCACGTTGCACAACCCTGACTACTTCATCTAAAATGCCTGGAAGGGCCGAATACACAGCAGCGTCCATGTTCGAAGTATGCTAACCACACGCCGCCCATCTAAATCGAATCTCGCAAACTACCGCCTGGTCAACGCAACTCATGAGCGATCAGGCCAAAGGTCTACAACACCAGACTTGACCTAGGGAGAACCATCCCTCAACGCGATACGAGACGTGATGTACCTTAGCAGCACGCCCTGCGACAAATTGCATTGTATCGGCTATGTGATGGATGGAGCGAATGGTGTATCGTGCTCCAATGCTTCCTGGCAAATCATGAGGGCTGTGGAACACATTGATACGTTTATTTTGCGAAGGTGAATCCATCCTATTCCTCCAAATTATGTGTTTGCTCGGGAGGTACACTTGGAAACAGATGACCTTGTGTTCAACCGTTAAATATAACAGTATTCATCCATTTCTATAGGGTTGTAGTGCAGTCTCTTTCCTGTGTCGTCTTATCATCGCAGCCCGAACGAGGATGAAGATAAGGGGACAAGACTGCCAGCCAGTCTCATGGCATGATGAAAGAAGCAGAGTTACTAACAACAATGTATCATTGCAGCACTAGCGATGGGGTACGAACTGGTGATAAGCCATTTTGTACATCAGGCATGTGCTTAGTGTTGACTTCCATGGTCGCATCTTCGCATAGTAGCTCGAGGTAAAGCCGGGAACCGTCCCTGCTGAGAATCAGGCCACAAAGATACTTTTGACTAACATCATAGATTCTTGATACGATAGGTCATGGTGTGACCCTTGTATCTCCAGGTGACTGTGAGTAGGGTGCGTCCGGACACAATCCAGCTTCGCACTTGAATCCCTAGCGTGAGGCGCGGGCCCATGGCAGATTATAAATAGCCATCGGCCAATTTCTCTAGGCTGTGATGTAAAGAAGACTAAAGTCAGGCCTGTGTCCTACAGGTATCTATTTGGGTCCAGTCTAGACTTTGTGTCAGCGAATTAAAATGAACCTATCTAAGAGTTTCACATGGTCGGTAAGTCGTTTTTCCCGAGACTGAGAAATGGCATTTGCTCCCATCTCTTGGTTGAATGGAGACATATGAGGATTGGACGTCTAGAGAATTCATGTGCCATCCGCAACACTAGGCTTAATTGAGTGGTCTACTCCGAGCTGACGTGTTTTCCGCCGTGCGTGTGTCTCTGGCACCACCTGATTCGTGCCCGCGGGGGCTCGTAATGAGCCCACGTGCCGGCCTTCCGTCTGTGCCTGAAGCGACTCTGGCTGAAACTTTCCTGCTCGTGGTTTGATCGTGTTGCTCATCATGGAGGCCTATATGGATAGTTGGGCTTGGGGAATTGAACAAGTATGTCCATTGCAGAGTATGGTTCCCTATCAGCATATTCCAGATACCCTTACTGATAACTCGCCCAGGGGAAATTACTATGGTTGACATTGAAGCAACGCTACACGGTCAGGTATTGGTGGGAGGAGAGCACTTAATCTAAGCATTGACACGGCCCTCTTGGTAGCTCCCATCCCCACCAACCATAGTAATCCGAACCGCTGCGGGTCGTTTCTGCAACGACCTCTCGACTCCGCAGGGGATAGCTGCAGAAGTTACGGTTTTGTTTCTGCACGCGGGTGGGATCCTCCTGGCGGGAAATGCTTCCTGAGTGGTCGGCTTAATTTGTACCTAGTTTCCGGTGCCCTCACCACGGGCCTAGTTCCGCCACCAAAGCAACCATGGCGGCTTCACATCCTCGAAGCGAGATTGGCAGACCCCTGGCTGCTAGCGGATATGGTCGGAGACGGGGGTATAAGATGCTGATCGCTGTCAATCCTGTTGGACACTCCTCAACGTCGACTAACACTCTTTTCGTCCAATTTTCAATCATCATTCATTCATTCAGACATTCATTCCCGGTTCCGAACATGATCCATCGACTTGCTTTTGCCTGCGGTTTGCTGGCAGCCATTGCTGTCCAGGCTATGCCTGCTGAGCCCGCTCATCCCATGGTGACTGAAGCACCTGACGCCAATATTATTGACAAGAGAACGACGACTTGCACCTTTTCCGGCTCCGAAGGTGCATCCAAGGCCAGCAAGTCCAAGACATCTTGCTCCACGATTTACCTTTCCGATGTGGCTGTCCCATCTGGCACCACCTTGGATCTCACGGACCTCAATGACGGTACCCACGTACGTTTCCCAGTCAATATATTGCTCCTTCCGCCAATGGTTCAATGCCATTGAGTTTAACTAACCAGATGGTGAGGTCATCTTCCAAGGAGAAACCACATTCGGCTACGAAGAATGGAAGGGCCCTCTGGTGTCTGTTTCTGGGACCGATATTACCGTCGAAGGTGAGAGTGGCGCCGTCTTGAATGGTGATGGCAGCCGATGGTGGGATGGAGAGGGCGGGAATGGTGGCAAAACCAAGCCCAAGTTCTTTTATGCCCATGACTTGACCTCTTCCACTATCAAGAGTATCTACGTCGAGAATTCTCCTGTTCAAGTCTTCAGTATCGATGGATCCACCGATCTCACCATGACTGACATTACCGTGGACAACACCGATGGTGATACGGATGACCTTGCTGCCAATACTGATGGATTTGACATTGGTGAAAGCACCTATATCACCATCACGGGTGCCACAATCTACAACCAGGATGACTGTGTTGCCATCAACTCCGGAGAGGTATATGACGACCTTATCATATTTATCCATTACTAATCATTGCATAGAATATCTACTTCAGCGCTAGTGTCTGTTCTGGTGGCCACGGCCTGTCGATTGGCTCGGTTGGTGGCCGTGATGATAACACTGTCAAGAACGTCACCTTTTATGATGTCAATGTGCTCAAGTCCCAGCAAGGTATTCCAAGCTTTTGACAGTTCATTCTTCTATTGGCTAATCCATCCTCTAGCCATCCGTATCAAGACCATTTACGGCGATACCGGCTCCGTCAGCGAAGTAACCTACCACGAGATCGCCTTTTCCGACGCCACAGACTACGGCATCGTCATCGAGCAGAACTACGACGATACCTCCAAGACCCCCACCACGGGTGTTCCCATCACCGATTTTGTCCTCGAGAACATTATCGGAACGTGTGAAGATGATGACTGCACCGAGATCTACATTGCGTGCGGTGATGGAAGCTGTTCTGACTGGACCTGGACCGGCGTGAGTGTCACTGGTGGCAAGGTCAGCGATGACTGCCTCAACGTTCCTTCGGGAATCAGCTGCGATTTGTAATACAATCCCCTGGGAAGATGTCTACAATGTACGATGTCTTCCAAGATCGCCGTTTGCTGCGGGTTTATATATTTTCTATATCGTGTCTTTATTTCTATCTTTGCCTGGTGAGGAGTGATGTAACTCTTCACACAGTGCAACTATTCGATCATCATTTTACTCATATTTGGCGGGGTACACTGACAGAATCAAGTAATAAGTTAACTGTCGTCAAGGGGCGGAACTGCAATGAGTTCAATAAAGCTGGAAAATGTACTAGATATCGTACGATCTTCGTATGTGGAGCGGCAACCTGACGGAGTAAACAGAGAGCGACATGGTCAGGCAAAAAATATATACTATACTTTACATTGTGGGCCTGCTACAGGAGCTCGAATGACCCGAGGTGGTTAACCGTACGGTTATATACTGCGGTCAGAATGGAATGGAGACCCAAGCCCTCTTCAACATAACACATTCTGTCCGCATCAAATCATGCACAGTCTAAGTACCACACGGACCGGCCCTCAATCTCCGAACACTTTGTTTCCACTACGCCGCCCGGCCGACTCGCGAGCCAGTCCGAGGCTCCTTGAAGTGAGGCAATGGATCCCAGCAACCGACCGTCCTGCTCTAGGGCAAGAAGCTCCTGAAGGTCTCGACTATCTTTAAGACCGGTCCCCGGAGGAGATTGGCCAGCATGCCAAACCCCCTTTTCCGGCTGAGGGTGCTGTTTGATAGACCCGGAACCACCGCCCCCCAATCCCAGTTCCAACTTCAGCCCACTAATGGCATACTCTGCGACCAGCGCGCCATTGTAATAACCCCCGGCGCGCGGGGTGCTCCGGAGGGCCTGGATCGCCCGTGCCCGGATGGCGTAGTCAGGACAGCGCAGGGCCAGAAAGCTGAGTGCCGCGCAGACGGTGCCATCGGGCGTGAAGCGCGCGACACGGCGAGGAAGACGACCCGGCCTCTGGTGAACGGGCTCCGTGCGTGTCAATGCAGTCCGTGCGTCAGAGAGCAAATTCTCATATTCGTGGAGGAGAGCCCGCAGATCGGGATGGCATGGTGGGTGAAGACATGTTTTTAGGGCCAGGGTGAAGGTGCGATGGGCCAGTTGAACCATAGTAGAGGTTTGATCTTGTGTCTCCGGGAGAGTCTGTCGAATGAACATCTCCCATTGCACCCCAAATTGATTGAGACAAGATAGGAGCCGTTGCTGTTGTGGCTGGAGCACGGGGTACTGGTTCAGGAGTTCTACGTCCGTGAGGCTCCAGCAGCGCTCAAGGAGGAGGAAGACGGTTGGGACTACGGAGTGCAAGATCTGACGGGCTTGCTGGACGGTCTGGAAGGGCGTTGCACATAAACGGGCCTCAAAGGACTCGTGATACTGAAACTGTTGGTCAAGGGGCAGGAAGGGCTGCTGGACGCCGTGAAAGGCTGAGTGGGCATCGAGATAGAGAAAGGCTTCTAGGAGACCTGGGGGAATCGGATATGCCGCTGGATCCATGCTGGAAGCGCCCCGTCGTAGCTCGTGGAGGATGTGCAGCCCACTACGCAGGTGGGTATTGGCGTCATCGTAGCGGGCACAGGCCAGCTCGAGCAAGATGAAGAGTAGGCAGCAGACCAAAAGCACCTGTGGTAGCTGCGGGTCATGCGACCCTGTCCGCCGCTGGAGCAGACTGAACGATTGACTCGAATGGACCAGGGCAAAACCGTGCCAGGAACTGCGCAGATCCTGGCCTGGAATTGCCAGTCTGTCGGTTTCGTGGATGTGGTGATTGACGGCACTGAAGGCCAGCACGGCGTGGTAGACGGCCGGCTCGATGGCGCTGAGGGGGAAGATGACCTGCTCCCACAGCCCTGGATCCGACGCCTCGACACACCCCGGAAGCACCACATAGTGGAAGAAGGACAAGCATCGCTTCTCATCCGAGGTCATGGTCATGGTCCTGGTCCCGGTCCATGCAAAGTCGGTCGCGAGGGACGGCAACAACTGTGCCTTGGACGCGACGTGTTTACCGGGGAGGGGATTGAGCTCCACTCCTTCACACGGCCACCCGGACGTCTGGCAGTTGCGACATCCTCCCGGGGTCTCGTCGCATTTGATCCGGCGAATCCTGCGCTCCTTGATCAGTACGGTCGGTGTCCAGACTTGCTGAGGGCAGACCCTTCATTTACCGGCAAGTTCGACAACCGGTCTTGGAGCGTTTCTTCTGCGCCTGGCGGCGTCTTGGCCGTTGATCCCCCATGTACGAGAATGAGAGAGAGGCAGGCTGACGCAGGATCACTGACAAGACGCTCCTGTAGGCTGTCGCAGGACGGCCCCCCCTTTTCTGTTGCTCCGCTCACACTAGAGCAACACTAACGGACGCCGGCGATTCATCCGGCCAATCAATGTGGAAACAAGGTAGGCACACCTCCACTGCCCCAATCCAGCCAGCCGTGCGGACTGTGGAAACGCAAATTTCATGTCATAGCGTTGTAGTCCTGCCAGCCAACGTCTAGTTCGTTCCTCAGGAGCAATGACCGAAGCGACAAGTCGTATCATTGGAAATGGTTGCCGGCTGCTCTGACTCTTCAAGATGGAGCTAAGGGCTGCCCAATAACGTCATTCCTTTGGTGCATGATTGCACGGAAGTCAATCCCTGAAGCCGCACTATTACAATACCAGATAATATTGGAAAATTAAGATGGCACGCCCCATGTTCCATGAGAAGCAGACTCATGGAGATCTTGTGAAGGAGCAGACCGAACCAGGGGATTGGCTTGTCAGTCAGGATCGGATAATTAACCAGATTGATAGGATTCTCAGGTGGAAAAGGGAGCCAGATGGAGGTAATGTATATGGGCCGATATCGTATGTAGAGAACAAGATTACGAGATATTGATTATCAATCTATCCACCTAGTAAACACTGAACACATCTCTCGAATTAAGCCAATGGGATGTTGGGGAACCACCACGTGCATATCGTCTTTTTGACTACGGGATCTGATAAGGCCGGTCGAAATGGGTACATCGGTGAAGCATTACCAGAACGTAGATCTCTAGTCCCTCCCATTGGGTCAAGGTATCCCCACAAGTCTGGATCACAGAGTAGATGCCCCAAATGGGTGTACTCTGAACGGATACAATCGTTCTGTATGGCTGGAGTCTCCGAACTTCCGAACTCCGAGACATCTACCACATCATGCTTCTGGTACTCAATTAGTCTTTGTGGGAGCTCTTTCGCTGGCCAGGCTAATGTCTCAATCCGCGACGACTACTGGAGAATCGGTTCCAATTTACAGCGCGGAAAATTAAAAAATGGATCCGGCTAGGAAACTTGACTGTATCTGATCACCTTTTATCTGATTGATTAGATAGAATTTCTACCTTTTTCTCATTAGGGTTCAGGTCCACAATCACCCGTGCCCTGGTCACGCGACAATATATTTTGACGGATTTTACTGTCTCATAGATTTCTGCTGAGACATAGGCCTGTCTGCCCTTGAGGGGATCAATATACAATGTGCACAGGAAGTGACCATGACAATACTTACCCAACAACCAGTCTGCCTCACTCATTCTCGCCATATGTGGAATCCAGGGGGATGTGACATACGTCGAAGACCTATCCCATTTGGAAGAATGTCTCCATCCAATGTACGTCATGAATTCTGGGGATGAGTTGACTGCTCCACGATACTGGAGTCTCGCTTGAGATCGGTTCTCTTGGCACTGATTCTTACGCACCATAATTCCGATGGGGGAGGTGATATACATACCTCGCTCTCCCTTCTCCCCTCTCGTACAGCTATATCCATCCGACAAAGGCCATTTTCATCTTTTCACGCTGGGCATGCCTGCAACTGTCCCTATGGGTAATTCAACAGCTGCAAAGGCACTGCGCCTGTCTAATAATGAGTGGAGCAACAAGTATTTCGCCATTAGCATCGGCGTGATCATGGTCCTTTTTACTTTCCACCACTGGTCAAGTGTCATTTACTTTCACTATGGCCCCAGGAAGAGCAATACAACGTTAAATCGGTGTTATAGGTAAATCTACTGCCAAGATTAGGCACAAAGATACTGATGGTAACATAACAGGAAAACCCGACGGTTTCTTTCCGGCGCACAGATGGGACAGAGGACAGACCGGTGTCTTCTATATGGTATCTACTGGGCTATCAATTTGAGTCTATGCTTAACCAATGTGAATCTTAACAAAATCACTTATGTGAGCTCTCCTCCATCGTATGTTCAAATTGGTATACCTTATTTCTGACAGATTCCAGGTTGCCAAACGACTCGGCTGGTTCGTGAAGTTCCTGGCCCTCTTCCACCCCCATATCGCCCAAGCCAACAAATACTTAACGCAATTGACAGGATTTCCGTCGCCAACCTGGTGCTTTTGGTCTTCTTGGCGCTGAAAAACACACCCCTCGCGCCCTTGACGGCCAAATCCTACGAGAAACTGCGCCCACTCCACAAAGTCGCTGGATACACCTGCATCTTTACCAGCTGCTTGCACGGCATAGTGTACCTAGCTGCGTGGTCAGAATTGGGGGATCTGGTCTCGATGCAAGAGACCCGGAATCTCGCTGGAGCCATTGCAGGCATCGCCATGGTTATCATCGGGCTTTCCACCATCTCCTACATCATGCGTGGTTCTTATGAGAGTGAGCTATCCACATGTACGATCAAGCATTCCCCGTTATTCATAATATATAGTTTTCTATATGCTGCACGTCACCATGTTCCTCTTGATCATGATTACAGTCGGTATGCACCGTCCGAAATTGTCAACATCGACTTTAATCATCGTGATTTTCACTGCCTGTCTCTGGTTCGTGGACCGTATCATCCGCGGCGCAAAGGTAGTCTGGTACTTCTTTGGAAATTATGCTACAGTCACAGCCTTGCCCAACAACGCTCTCCGAGTACGACTCAGCCGCTGCATGAATTCCAGGCCCGGTTCCCATGCATTCCTGTGGGTACCTGCCATTCGCTGGGTTGAAAGCCACCCCTTCACCATGCTGTCTTCAAGTCCCACCGAATTTCTCATTCGAGTATATGATGGATTCACTCGGGATCTCTACCAGGCTGCCCAGAAGGCGCCGGGGAGGTCTCTGCGCTGTTCTGTGGATGGTCCATATGGTCAAGTCCATAACTTTGAAGTCTACGATAAGGCCATCCTTATTGCTGGTGGCAGCGGTGCGAGCTTCACATTTGCTGTTTCAATGGACCTGATCGCGTCATCTTCCAGAGCGGTTCACTCGATTGATTTCATTTGGGTAGTGAGACACCAGGGTGAGTTTAAGATAGATCAAAAAGATTTTTGCAGTTGCAGGACCTGACTCTGTCTCCTAGATAGCCTTGAATGGTTTGAGCAAGAGCTCAAGGAATTACAGGATCATCCGGACGTGAACGTCATCATTCATGTCACGAGTCAAGTTGACCCATCCGCCATATTGTCATCCACACCCTCAGACTTGGTGTCGGAAAAGGCTTCTGTCAAGGGTGATATAACCCCACCGCAACCGTCACCGACCAGCATGGATTTTGACCCTGAAAAGGGCCCATTTCATCAGCCCATAGCCAAAGCCCTCACTTCCCCCAATGAGATCCGGCAAGGACGTCCGGATATCGACAAACTCATAGCGACTGCTGTCAACACGAGCGGAAATACAAATGACCGGATCATTGTGGGTGCTTGTGGCCCTCGGGAACTCACAGCTGCGACACGCAAGGCTGTCACCGATATACTGCGTAATGATGGGCCGGCGATTACAATCTACACCGAGGTAGGCTAAGTGGTGGTCTTCTACAAGATGGTAACTGGCTCACTGACTTGGAACGCAGGAATTTGAATGGTGATCAGCATTCACCTGCGAATTATGATTTGCTAGTCGGTTGCAATAACTCCTTGCGGAGATGGTGTGGCTGCATCACTATATCTGCATAGCAGTCACTAATGACAGGTTTTGCTTCATCCCAACCAAAGATGTCGAATGCTTAGGGGCAAGTTTCGAGAGATGTGCTGATGGACAGCATCGACCACGTTATGGACGCTATTACGAACCCAATGAAATCAGTTATGTTGTTACGGCTTACTACCTCACTCGAGGTGTGCAGTTACTATGACTGTCACTTCAGCGTGGGATGGACACTATACTCGCCATCTTACGACATTCAATTATACCAAGGCAATTCATCAACCAATGGAATCAATTAACATTAAGTAAGGATTCCCTGTATTTGAGGGATCTCGTAACCAACGGGGGGCATATTCTCATCAGGGGTTATAATTATGATGTGAAAGGTGAACGATTTGGTCTGGATAGGCATTCGTCGATACGATGGCAACAGCATTGTCTGTAGGCACTACCAACTACTCTGCAAAGATCGATCACTTGGCCTGACCAGTCTCGTGGACATGGGGAGGTGGAAGGGCTCCCGTCGCGGTGGGTGCGGTGACATCCGCCACATGGGGCTGCTCCTGGGGCTGCTCCTGAGGATGGTCCTGAGGATTCTCCTGATGGTGCTCTTGAGAACCTTCCTCAGAATGCTCCTGAGAACGGTCATGGGGCTGATCCACCGTCACTGGAGGCACCATCGCCATTTCCGGATCCGCTGCTGCAGCTGGGGCAGCAGATGACCCCTGCCGTGACTGCGGCGCCACACTGGACGCAGGACTCGGCTCTAAGAGCCGGGGACCCGGGTGCTTCTCGGGTTGTTTGCTGGTCTTGACGCGGGCAGGTGCCGGTCCCAGCATTGGCGGGTACTTGAATCGGAATCCCCAGACAAAATACAGACGAAGTTTGGTCCAGAAGCTCATGGCATTCCACCGTTTTCTCAGGACCTCGCCATCGGCCTGGGAGCGTGAACGGTAGCCTTTCCGGAAGAAGCACAGTAACAACAGGGTGATGGGCATAATAGTAAGCGACCAGCAGACAGGCAGACCACGACGGGTTTGCCAGCCCAGCATCAGGCGGCGGAACCGGACCCAGGCTTCGATAAAGCCGAGAATCAAGAACAGGCCAATCCAGCCAATGCTCAGAATGAGGGTGAGAGCCAAAGGAGAAATACCCATCGGATAACTGTCAAGGAACCAGCTCTCCTCGCCATAGCCATAGTCATAGTAGGTATAGCCGCCATTGCTGCCATACGTCGGGTAGCCATAATTCCCGGGGTTGGTGTTGCCGCCACTTGGGCCGGTGTAGGTGCATCCCGCACCGGTATACAACGAAGTAGGCCGGTTGTATGTACTTAATGACGAAAGGGTACTGCTGGGGACCTGGGTGGGATCGACGTAGACGATGTCGATGGTGTAGGTTGTTGGCTGGAAGGGCCGACTGGAATCGACGGAGAAGGAAGTTGTCACCGCAGTGCGTGGGAGGAGGTCTTGCACCTTACTGGGAGGAGTGACCCTCACTGCCGAGGTCCGTGTCCACTGCGACGAGCATCCAGTCGGCGCAGTGTAGGTGATGTTGACCGCAAAAACAGTGCTGTGATAGGCATCGTCGTCATCGTCGTCGTAGTAGCCATAGCCATAGTCGTACTCGTCAACCACGGATCCAACACCAGTAGGGTAGAGCTGTTGAACGATGGTCACATCCTTCGAGTTGTCATAATAGTAGTAGTCATAATTGGAGGTGCCTGTAGAGGTGGCGGTTGAGATGGCCTCCGGGATGGAGCTGGCAGTGGGAGTGATTTGTTCAACGAGCGTGGTGGTGATGGTTTGGTGGTAGTATGTCTCCGTAGTGATCACTTCTTGGAAGTCCTCGGTGACAATCCACGGGGCAGCAGAAACGAAGGAGGACAGCTGGGTCAAAAACAAAAGCGAGGGAAGCAGCAAGAACGAGAGTGAGAGGGCCATGCTGGATGGTTGCCCTGGTTGGCTTGGATTGTGCAAACTCAGAGGGGGGGCCAGGAATGGTGGCGCCCATCAGGTACTTCTATAATTACCTGGATCCTACACCCTCATGACTCCGACTAGCCCAGTGGAAATTACTTCATCTCCACCATGTCCTAACAGCGTAATGATTGGCAGGGATTTCGTGAAAGGGTCTGCGCCGCGAGCTTAGCGTCGGCGCTATAATGCTCTGTTTTCTTGGCTGTTGACCAGGGTCCGCGACCCAGATAATCTGGAGAAACTCTCACCACGTCGTGGTCTGATGACAACAATTTTATTGATTTGCCTAATCTGCTTGCGTCTTTGACACAATCCGGTCGACATTGGGTACGATATGGTGCAATTCATGCTGCTGGCAAGAATCACGAAGTGGCAAAAGGCTGGGCGACGAAGATTAGCGTCCTCGCTTTCAGGGTCCTATCGTATTAGTCCCTGGAGCTAAATCGAAGAGACTTTGGCGGCTTGTTCCGGATTTGCCAGGATGCTGCCTGCTTCGCTCTCTGGTGCCTAATCTGGGCCAGTCCCCGGGCGCGCTGCGGATTTAGCTTTGGGTTGGGATGGGTTCGTGTTATCTCGACATCTCCACCCATGGATTGACATTGCGGGTAACCCACTCCAGGGTTCAACCCTATCCTAGCTTCTCCCAGGTACCAGCGGGTTACCTATCTTCGACCAAGCAGGCAGTCACCGTTGACATGAGGTGCACCGGCATCTGTATTCTCATGTAGGGCTTGTTACTATTGTTTCTAGGTAGGGATCTTGGCCAAGCTGGAGCTTTGCGGTGTTGAATCGTGATGTGATTGATGATTATCGTTCATCTTACTGTCGGGCTCCTACTCAGGCCTGCTTGTCGCGTTCCACTGTTCAATCTTTGCTAGCTTTCAGCGGTTCATCCATAGTGCAATGTCTTGGTCCACCCTTTCGGCCGTGAGACGAAATGTGGACCTGTTCCTGATAAATATTCAGTCTGGCGAACTGAGGACTAGGGGACACCACCAGTCCGAAAATACTAAATGTAAACACGATTGACAAGACAACTAGGAGGGGCCTGATAGACTCACATGGAAGGTTTCCTTGAGGTTCGAATAATCGCGATTCGAACTGCTCATTATTCGGAAATTATCACGCTCATGGCCCTAAACAGTCAACGGGAAATCATTATCAGGTTCCGTTTCTCAATGCAAGTTCCATGGAGTGGAATGTTATGGAAACGAAGCCGGTTATTCTCCGGAAGGGGTTCTCGTTACTAGCTTCGATGGTCATATTTTAGGTTTCAGTACTCTCTAGCAAAGGTTGACTATACACAGTCCCTGTTGCCCGGCTGTTTGGCGAGAATGATGAGATCGGAAGAGAGCTACTCGAGGTTCTCAATAAGACCATTGTAAGTAATTACATCGTCTCGGTCGTCGAAGCTACAGTGTAAATGTAATTGATGTTCTTGAAAAAGGCTGTTGGTAGATCTACCGATGCATCCACCTGTGCTACTGCGTAGAATTCACTTTTTGTGCTGTAGTGTGGTGATATTCGGTACCGTGGCTCTATGTTATTATCTTTGCAAAAGACTGGCAGAATTATGCATCTGGCTCTATCCAGTCGGCCCATGGCCCAGAAAATTACCATCGTGGCTGTGAGCATGATATTGACAGGGCGGGCATAGCAGGGATGGATACTACCGGGCGAAATACTCTAGCGGAAAATTCGGACTAGAGATGAGCTGAGTCTTCCACAATACGTTTTCAAGTCAAACGTTGCGTGTAATATGATGCTATAATACCTCTTGGTAATAGTGGATCCATATTGACCTCGCATTGGATGGCTGAAGGTCCGAAGAACCTCCACCTACACCAAAGCACATCACTAAAGGCAATGCCAAGGGGGGTCCTACATACAGACTCGGCGTCTGAACCATCCTTTTTAAATGCCCTCGCGTATTGGATACCCCTCATTGAGCTGTAAAGAGTGTTGGGACATTTTCTTCCGGTGGTGGATATGATTGATCGTGATTGCGGCAGGCCTCTGCAAATATATATATCCCTGTGTCGTGTCCTGGGCTAAACCACATTGCATATGTTACCATGTGATGGCGACTACAATGAGGATCCTCGTAGTGATTTTCATGAGCTTAAATCCACATTCTACAGACCAATATGCAGTATCCAACAAACTCTATGCATCTTTAGCCGATGTTTTGAGCGTCGTGGTGAGTTCCGCTCAGCTCAGCTATACAATGTTTCTAGTGCGAAGACAAGGTCAATTGTACATAAACTTCATCATATCTGCCGCGAATCTCGTTCACGTCATACGCCGCTTGGGTGTAAAAATTCCATGATCTGGTAGACCTGAATATAGAGACGTGAGAAGCTTGGAGAGTACTGGTTACAGACCAGAACGGTAACGGGTGTCGATGTTATATTTATTATAGATTGTTAAAGCTACTACCACGTAGACCAAAAGAAATATATCCCAATTGACACTGGTGTACAAGCCAGAAGTTGTCCCAACACAGGTTGCTCGAACAGGAAGGACACAGGTACTCGGACGGTGAGGGCAATTACCAGAATTTGACCTCATCCGGACTCGAACCCTCACTGTCCTGGTTTCAGTAAGGAGCAAAAACGCCCACAGGCTCATAACCCGTTGAGGATCACCAGTCAAGAAAACGGAAGAGGTGTGGGATGAGGTTATCTAGATGGCTTGCAGGATCACCAAGGCCACAATAACGAGAAGAAGGAATGCAGAACCTGGGATCATCGTCTACCAGCTAATCAGGTGCTCCATCACACATCTCCTATGCTAGAATTCCATGCCCAGCTCATCCCCAGAGTATGGTAATTCAGTGTTCCTGGCTTGTGTGAGGAGTGATTATTCAACACCCACAAGCAGGTAGTTACAACATGGGGTCTTACTAGCCGTAATAAGCTATATAACTTCGAGGTACACCAGATTCAAGGTCGGGGTCTCTTGAAAGTCCATCGGAGAGATACTACTAGTCTTCTACTAACCAGCAATGGGGTGGTGGTCCGGATGACGCAGCCTTCATTTATGATAAGACCTGAAGATGACGGCCCGAACCGCCTGGGCCTGCAGTCAAGCGTGTAGATGATTCCCTGGTTCTAGGCCGAGGTGACCACAGTGTCCCTGATCGGGGTTCAAGGCGATATGCTCCATGCTATGGTAATCTATTATGCATCAGATCGCATCCGCAATGTTATCTGTGGGCCATAGGGATCATTTTGAGATAACCCGCTTTTAGCGGATATCCGTATCAGATGACGCGAGATGCAGTGCGAATGGGTTCTGCTGGGAAGGTTTCTGGAATTGTAGCATCCAATGAAGATAGTGTAAGAAGAGAAGGAAATCAGGCTATATAGCATGCTAGGTGAATTTGTGGCAGATAACCTACGTGGCCGCCCACTGCAGACTAGTGGGCGTCTGACACGCAGGTGTATATTTCGGACATATCCCCTGGCTTGCGGGAGAGGGAGGGGGATAATAATCGGCCAAGCCAATAGGTGACTCTAAGAGCGAAGAATCAGGATGGAGTGGCTCGGGTGGTTTGCCCCCAAGGGGAAGCCCCGCCGAAGCCCCGCGCCAACATCACCTGATAATGATATGCTTGACCCCTGAGGAATCACTCCGAAGGAGGGGAGCATTGTTGGCAGCTCCAGCAATTCCTACAGCGTACTAACATGTTAACCTCCAGAGACTTCCCCGTCAATTTGTTGATATGTGCACCATGGCGTCCACAGACAATGGCACAGCTATGTCACGGCATCTTTTTTCGCTTTCGTTTTCGCGTTCGGGTTCGGGAGGGGGCCGCCCCACAGCCACCCGCAACAGAATTCGCCGGTGGCGCGTGGCGATGTTATTCACGTCGCTATGCAGCATAACCCCGTGGATAATCTCCCCTCGGATCCAGCGCCGAAATGAAAAAAAGTTCAACAACGTTTGGAAGCCTCGGGTAAAGTCCAGACGGGGGCAGATGGGACTTGTTATAAAGGCCCAAACTGCCCATGATGACGAAGCTGCCCTTCTTCCCCTGGCATATCAAACCCTATTAATATGGCAGCCCAGGCGGACTTGGAGAAGGCGGCCCTTCCCGCCACGGTGCAATCCTCTCCGGAGCTTGACAACGCCCCTCAACCCCACGACGCCAATATCGTGGATTACGATGGCCCCGATGACCCGGAAAGTCCCTTTAATTGGCCTCGCTGGAAGAAAGGCCGCCAGCTGGTCCTGATGGCGTTCAATACATTCATCACGTAGGTGGTCAATCCCCTTTGCGTGACAGCTTCCCCCCAGCTAACGCCTCGACTAGGCCCTTGGCCTCCTCCATGTTCGCCCCCGGAGTTGAGGGCGTGATGAAGGCTTTCCACTCCTCCAGTACGATGCTGGCCTCGTTCATCGTGTCAGTCTATGTCCTTGGATACGTCATCGGGCCATTCCTTATCGCCCCTTTATCGGAGATTTATGGACGCGTGCCACTCTATCATGTGTGCAATGTCCTGTTCCTCATCTTCACCATTGCCTGCGCCGTAGCACAATCCATGCCTCAACTGATCGTGTTCCGTCTGCTGGCGGGCACAGCAGGCGTCTGCCCCCTGACGATCGGGTCCGGCACCGTAGCCGACATGGTGCCCAAGGAGAAGCGAGCCGGTATCATGGCTATTTGGGCCATGGGCCCTATTCTGGGTCCCGTGGTGGGCCCGGTAGCAGGAGGTTTCTTGGCCGAAGATGAAGGCTGGCGATGGGTGTTTTGGGTCCTGGCAATTGCTGTAAGTAGGAACGCTCCTTAACATACAGGACCGCAACTGACATCTGCTACAGACTGGTCTTATGACCATTCTCTGCATGATCTGGTACCGCGAAACCTATGCGCCAGTCATCCTTGAGCGCAAAGCGGCGCGTCTGCGCAAAGAGACCGGGAATCCAGACCTACGTTCGGTGCATGACCACGGCAAACAAACCAGCGAGGTCCTGCTGTCTGCCCTGGCTCGTCCGATCAAACTTCTCGTCAAATCACCGATTGTCCTGCTCATGGTCCTGTTTGCCGCCACTACGTATGGTTACCTCTACTTGATGTTCACCACCATAACATCCATCTTCGAGGACGTCTATGGCTTTTCCACCGGTCTAGCGGGCCTAGCCTACCTCGGATTTGGCATCGGATGTCTCATTGGCCTCGTGGTCACCGGTGCGGTCTCGAATCGCATCGCCAAGAGTCATTCCGCCAAAGGGTGCTTCACCCCGGAATCTCGCCTACCCCCGATGATCTTCGGCTGCTGGGCCATTCCGATTGGGCTGTTTTGGTATGGATGGGCTGCAGAGGCACAAACCCACTGGATTGTGCCGATCCTGGGCACGGGGGTTTTCGCCATCGGTCTGATGACCGTCTTCATGTCCGCAAGTACCTACCTCGTGGACTCCTACCTACGCTATGCGGCCTCCGTTACGGCGGCCAATACAGGACTGCGGTCCTTGTTCGGCGCTCTGTTGCCCTTGGCCGGACCCTCCATGTACGATGCTCTGGGCTTGGGGTGGGGGAATTCTCTTCTCGCCTTCATCGCGTTGGCCATGTGTTCCTGTCCACTTTTCTTCTGGAGATATGGAGCGCGCATCAGGACACATCCGCGCTTTCAAGTCAAGTTATGATAGATAGATAATATAGATATGTATATAGATTACACTACGGGAATAGAATTTATACATAGATGATTTTAAAACACCACGCCGAGAGGGGGAACTCGGTACAAGGGTGGGCATCCATATATATTGGCTACAACCCGTAGAGATTCCCGGAATATTATTCATAAGGAGTCGCCTATTGTCTGGGCTATAGGATGACTGCTACTACTAGTATTGACAGCTTGGCAGCATCACTATGTGCGAAGTCCACCAAGAGCAACTGACTGCATTGCAAATTGATAACATTTGACGCCAAGGGAATAACAAATCGAATCTGACTGTCAGCCTACCTAGTCTAAATTGGGTCCAGACGACGCAAAGATCAAACACGGAAGCTACATTAAGAAATGGCACATCACCATCAGGAGGCTTTTGTAGGATGGCGAAGTTGTGACTCCCCAGCCATTCTTACTCCACGTCCTCGTCGGTTTCCTCGTCGGGGACAGTCAGTAGGTCATACAGATATTCCGCCATCCAGTCATAATTGTTGTCGGAGACCTCTTCAGCTGGGGTTGAGCTGTCCGGAAGTACCTCCTGGAGGGTTTTGCTGACAGTATCGTCGGCAGTTCCTACCGGAATCGAGGATTCACCGGAGTGAAGCAAGATGTGCCCAGCCAGGCGAAAGGATGCAGCTGGCTCGAGTTTCTCGACCACAACCTTTTCGGGAGCCAGGATTGGCACCTTATTGCCCTGGACGTTGGCAGGCGCAGCTGGCGCAGCTTGCTTGGCTGGTTTCGTGTCGGGTTTGGCGGGTTCCTTCACCGTCTGAGGCGCCGAGGCGGGCTTCAGGACATTCCAGTACTTGAATTTTCTAATGGACTCAAATTGCTTCACCATTGCCGCAGATTGGGGTTTCGCTGGGGCAGTGGGAGTGGCGGTAGGAGTCGGCTTGGGCGCATTGCCGGCGGCGTTGCCACCAGGGATGATCCACCCCTTGACCACGTACGCCTCTTGTTCCTTTGCGCTTCTTTGAATATTCTCGCCCACTTTCATGGCCAGGTCAGCGACGGGAATAAGCTCCCTCAGGGTACCCTCGAAACGCCCAGGGTCCACGATCGCCGTCCACGTCAGTGGAAAAGCAACGGCAGCAAGCGGGCCGACCACTGGGATGAATCCCACCGCGATGGTGAGAGTGTTTTTGAGAAATCCTGCCAGCCAGGTGGTTGCCTCAGGGGGCTTCCATTGAATAGTGAGTCCGTAGTTGGCACTGGCCACCGCCGTCCAGCTCAGGTCAGCCGAGTCGGAAAACATCTGCGCGGGGCCTTTCGTCGGCGTCAACTTGCGGTCCACGAAGCGGATACAGTGAGAGGAAAAGCAATTATGGATTCTGAGCGGCCGCGGTAGAGAAAGCAAGTTGACCAGCTGGCGGATGTTGATGGCCATGGTCCACTTGGCATCGGACGCCAGGCCGAGGGTCGAGTCGAGCGTGACGGTCTCGACGCGATCCACCACCACCCAGCCATTGCAATCGAAGGCCCAAATCTCCGGCTGGGTCAGGATGCTGACCTCCCGGTTGATGGCAAAGTTGACTTGGAGGAAGGTGCACACCTCCGGGAAATCCTCGGACGCCTGGTGCGCAACAGGGATGTAAATGCCCCGGATGCACGCCGTCCGCTACACCGCGGGGTCAGTCTATCAGTCTATCATGATGCAGACCGATGCGCGAGAAGAGCACCTACATCAATCAGAAGCCACTCTTCGCCCTTGGCCAACAACGGCATTGGGATGACCATAAACCAGGATTCCAGGGCGGCCCCTTTCTCTTGATCTCGGAAGCGATTGCCGTTGACACACAGATTGTGCCCGACCTGTCGATATCGGTCACTGTGTGGCTTTGTGCCGTACAGGAAGAAGATGTTGGCCCAGTTCCCGTACTGGGTACTCCACAGGTCGCCCTTGACCACCCGGTATGGGGACCGAGGGTGAAAGTGAACATCACTGGCATATTCGCTGTCACTGCCCTGAAAGGCTGGCCGGTTCCAGATGTATTCCACCAACATATGGCTGTAGAAATGCTCCGGTTTGTCTGCATCATACGTGGCAGATCGTAGCGCCGAACGCTTGAAGAAGCATTCTCCCTCGGGATATGAAAGCGCCATCGTGACGGTAATGGATGATGACTCGGCAAAGGACGACTGACCCGCTAGCTTTTTAAGGGAGAATGATGGTGACATGGGGTCTCTTTATCTAGCAGACATCCACCCCTCCCAAAGCGTATTCCATGGATACTCTGGGCTGGGGAACCCTGGACGGGAAATAGAGTTCATGCAGATGACTGGAATGGGAATGTGTCATGTCGACGTCAAATTGGGAAATCCAATCCCATACCACTAGGAAACCCTCCGAAGGTCGTATCCACTCCGATTCAAAAGCTGGTAGATGTTCCCGCTTGGGACCGTTTCACAGCTCAAGTGTCTAGCCCAGTCTGCGGGAGATGGATGGGACAGGCGGCCCCAATTCGATCAGCATCGGTTGATATGCTCACTGCCAGAGTCGGCGTCTTCACTGGGCAGGTGGATGAAACAGCTACCCTGACGCTGACTGCATGTGCAATTCCTGGTCTTCTGCTACTCGACACATGTCTGGCGATGGCACTATTCCGACACGACCGTCATTCTCTTTAGCCGGCGCTCCTCATTGGCTCGGGTGTTCACAAAGTCGGAGTATTTGAGCGTCAACTCCACGCCTCCGGAGATAATGTTATCAACCGCCTCCACTCCAAGCATGAAAATACAGATGGGCCCCGTTAGCGAGCCAGCAACGGGATGACCTGTCCTCGAAGCACACCTATGATCCTGGTTGCCAACCTCGTATTTTCAAGATCCAAGCCAACCACGCGATAGGATGTCCTTGCCCTGCAAATACGAAAGAATTTCCTGCAGGGCCCCATTGCGCGCCAGGTTCGGGGTCAGATAGCGATGGTCAAAGCGGCGCACATAGGTGCTGACGATCTCGTCCTCGGGCTTCAGCAAGTCGGTTTTGATGAGCCACTGGATGCTGTCGGCCACCAGAGCCTCGTGGTTAACGGGCTCGTAGGACGACTCCGGCACCTCTAGCATCAGGGACTAGTCCGAGACCCGCTGAGGCTCGGAGGAGGCCGGCTTTTGTCCATTGGCGAACTGCTTCGTGGCAAGCTTGACTTGGTGCTGGGGCTGGTTGTATGGAGAACAGTTGGAGAAGACGGTAGCACGGTAGAACGGAAAGTTGTCCTCGACCAAGTACAGCTGATCCGCGGTCAGTTTAGATGCGATGCATGCAGGGATATCAGCTGTAGTCATACCCAACACTTGTCCCCGATCCGCTCGGGGCGTTGACCACGGACCACAATGCCAATGGCGTTGGTCGAGGAATAGAACACAGGCTTGCACATCTGCTGCAGGCTTACATGGCCCGTAGATTCGGCCGGACAGTCAACGACCATGGTCGAGATCAGCGATCCATACTTGACCACCGTGCCTATCCAGCGTCAGTGGACTAGCTCGGGTATCAACATCGGCTGGTCGGACTCACCATCTTTAAAATGGACCTTTTATTGTCGGCATCGACCTTGGCGAGTGCGCCGTAGGCACCCAACCCAGCCTTCACCTTGGCCAGGGTGTTGGCGACAGCGATCCAGATGCCGCCGGTGCCGCCGGGGGCGGGGAACCAGAAGGTGGCATTGGGACCCCAGTTGCCGGCCACCTTCTTCAGAATGACGTTGCTGGCTAGCAACTTGATGTTTGGGGTGACGTTCGTCTATGAAGCCACCAGAGGATGATTAGTTGGGGATCTATGGCCAAGGCGGGGCAAAGTGGAGGGAAGAACATACCCGGCTAGTCGGAGCAGCCCAGATCTTGAAGTTATACGGACGTATCATCGTTCAAGCCCTTCCCGACGTTACGTGTGTTCCACGCGTCAAAATGTTGGGGGTGGTGGGGCATTTCCACGTCAGCTCTGGCCCCTGTCAGATGGCAAGCACCAGAGTGGAAGAGGAGAAGATCTATCCGTGCAGGAGGTTCGTAAATGATCCCGAGTAGCAAATACGATGAGAATACGACGGGATCGATCACCTGACCGTCGAAGATGCCGAACACAGCACAGGTGACTAAGCTATACACCACGTGATACCTCCACGATCTACTTTGTCTTCCTCTCTCTCCCTCTCCAATCTCCAATCTCCAATCTCCAATCTCCGTCTGCCCATTCTCCCACCTCCTCTCTAAAGCAACCAAATTTAGCTCTTTCAATCTTTCGCGCCGGAATATCTAATGCTCTCTCTCATTTAGTATCCCGCAGGTTCGATTGTCGCCGGAAAACATGCCTGGTCGAGACGGCGCGCGCACGATTCTCTCCACGCGGTCGGAGTGAACCGGTCGACAATCTCCTTGAAAACAGTCTGGCAGGTGGCCGACCGGGTCAGATTAGCATCCATCCTGCAAAGGGGATAGTCTACCTACCAACGTGCAAAAGCTCTCCTCGCCTCGCCAGTTCCGACCGGGCGGTCGGCAACCCGGTACCACCAATACTCGATTGTTATAGCGGAGACGGACATAATAGTGTTGGAGGGATTGCTTCTGCTGGTGGGACAGCTGGGACAGTGGAGTACGGCCGGTCGCACGCAGGGATCCTCCGTCCAGCATCCGTGCAGTGGTTTGGTCCTGGAATAGCTCAATGGCGAGAACGGATCCGTACGGAGGCCAGTTCCCCGTCCTCTCCAGGTCGACCGAACCCAGAGATGCTGCTATGGCTCCCACCGTCGAGTCATGAGATCCCGCCAGGAAGAGCTTGATGCTGGACCCGGGGAGGGCATCGCCGGTCTGACTCTGCACCTGGTTGACCATCCGCTGCACGACGTCCCCGAGAATCGGCCCAATTCCCAGACGTCGCGCTTCCTCATTCTGTTGATATATTCCGAATTCCTCCTCGTACGCGATGTGTTCGACGATCTGCATCACCCCATTGTCGTAGAACTCCTCCGGGAGACGAACAACAGAGCCGCTCGCGGACGTGGAGCTGATCATGTCATGAATGGCGTGAATGCTGGGTCGGGCATCCACCGCCACCCGCTGGGTCGGTGGCATGTGCTTGCACAGAAGCCGGTTGAGGTATTTGACATCTGCGCTGGAGTTCCCTAGGGTAACGGTTAGATCTTCCGCACGTCACTCCAGCTGGGTGGCAAAGTAAAGGGCTTACACCTGTCGGCAGTCCGGCGCGCATATGCCCTACTGATCTGGATGAACCGTTCACAATACTCCTCGTTAGGCAGTAAGGTCTCTTCTTGAGGGCTTCGCATCACGATTCGTGGCTGACCGAAACTTGAGGCCGCGGAACCAGGCGGTATGAAACCCTTGATGACATGCTGCAAAGACTCAAGGGTCCTGGGATATGGAGATGCGCGAAAGCATATGCTGTCCGGTTGTGTTACAACTGTAGGAAGAAGGCCCAGGCGATCCACGTAGAGTTTCCGGAGCTCTGCCCCTAGAGCTACCATTCCTGCTCGGCCATGATCGGTAAGCTCGCCGTGGAAACTGAGTTTAATGGAGTGTCTGGTGTCAGCTCAGGCTTTCGTAAGCACCTATTGTGTCTTGCTCACCATAAAGTCCCACTGTTCTCTGGGAGTAAAGGGCCATCGTCGGAATCAAATGTCTCTATCACTCTTTGCCACCTGAACGGAGCATCCTTCTGCCCGTTATCGTGAAGCAGCCCTGTTCTCCGGTGTTTGACTCCGGCGCACAGCGGCCAAACTTGACCCACTACTTAGCTCGGTACCTACCAGTCGAGTCTAAAAACATACATTTGGGTAGGCCAAGTTCCTGGATCGCAATGAGCACTATATCGGGCGGGGGAGCCTGGCAAACTACCTTGGTGAAGACTGGGGCGGTCGGCGTTCGCGCCCCTCGACAGCGTCAGAGATGGTTGGAACTCTAGCATAAGCCTGCACCTTACCGTGTCGGAAGAACTATTCAGTATGAGCATGCGGGCGCAGGATACTGAGGCTTGACTGACCAGGTTGACCGATTGAAGGGACAGTTCCTCCGGATATGGCACATTCACATCGTCAGCGGATAACATATTGACAGGGTCCCTTTGTCGCCCTATCTATTGTCTCTTGTTGAGTCTCTAGGCAAGAGAACAAGGGCATGAACAGACCGAGAAATGCTGCGGGTATTCCATACGGTGGCACATTTCAAATCGTGCACATGCCATAAAGGATCGAGTGATATAAACATGCCATTTGGTCCATCATCCATCCGCATATCATCTAGTCAACAGTCTCTAACCCTACGCTTGAAGATCCTCCCCAGCTACACTCGTTACCCAGGAACTTCCTATGCCTCAATCTAAATCGCTTCCTAGGCTAGCACAGACCTGCTGGCTTTGTCATGCTGCCAAGTAAGAGAGAGCCTTGCTTTATGTTGGGGCTGTCGCTCGGGTTCCGACGACCTGCAGGTGTTGTACGATACGTATTGGCGATCGGGCTTCTAGCTTGATGGCGCACAATGACAATGCAGACCATTGTGCGGCAGTTGAGATTCCAACTTGTCCAAGGATAGGATGACTGTTGTGCGATGATAAGTTGCCCGTCTTGTTTGGAACTAGAGTATGTCCTACTGTTTACCAATGCTTGGAAAATAAGGCCCGGAATGGCTACCCAGGGACACAATGACGCCTTGGAAGAATGGCTTTATCCCTTCTGGTACCTCAGTTGAATCAATCTTCCCGTCACTGTGGCAGCATAAAATGCATCAAAAACAATGTATTCATCACAAGGTGTGTGTCACAAAACATGCGCAGGGTAACATCAACGCCCGTTCGTCAGTTCCACATGGGCAATATTGCCACCGTTCATCTCGCAAGCTGGCTCTGCCTTGGGCCAAAACGTATCCCCATAGCTGCGGTACCATTCTAGCGTGATGGCGAGCGCATCGTCAAAGGAGACTTGTTCTGTCCACCCCAGCAGTCGGAGCTTGGAATCGTCGGTCCAGTACATCCGATCGTTGAACGGTCTGTCTTGGACCATTTCCAGATATTGTTCGCGCTCGCTGCAACCGGGATGGAACCACTGTAGGATCTTTTCTGCGACATCCCGCACCTGGATTTGCTCCCGCGAGGAGATATTGTAGGTCTCGGATACGACCCCACGGTGGAAGATGATATCAAACGCATTCATGACATCACTGGCAAAGACAAATCCGCGCATTGCCTTTCCGTCGCCATGGACTGTCATGCGCTTGGAATGAAGCATTTGCATAGCGAGCTTAGGAATCAGTTCTGCGCATACGTTAGACATAGACCGCCCGGTCATCGGAGACGCTTGGATCTTACTTTCGGGATATTGGTAGGGACCAAACACGTTATTGCAGCGCGTGATTATGATGGGCATATGAAAGGAATGCAGATAGGCGTTCACAATCATCTCCCCGGCGGCTTTGCTGGCCGAGTACGGATTTGTCGGGTTCAGCCGGTCATCTTCCGTGAAAGCATAGTTCTGCCCCGGTTCATTCTCCCCGTATACCTCGTCGGTCGAGACATGGATAAATCGGCGGACCGTCCGGGCCTTCCGGGCAGCCTCTAGAAGAATATGCGTCCCGGTGACGTTATTCTGCGTGAAAGGGATAGGGTCAACAAAAGAATGGTCCACATGGGAGTTGGCCGCAAAGTGGACAACGGCATCGACCCTAAACTGCTCAAAGATGCTCGTGACACTGAGAGGGTTGCACAGGTCTCCTTCGATGAAGTGAAAATTCGGCAGATGTTCCACGGGCTGGATATTCCGTTTGGAAGCACAGTAGTCGAGGATGTCAAAACAGAGGATCGTATACCTCTCCCCATAGACCCGCAGAAGATGCCGAACAAACCACCCTCCACTGATGAAGAAGATCAGTTTGATCAATTGTGTACTGACACTCGGATCAGTAACGGATTGCAGTGTCTTACATGAAGCCCGCCCCCCCAGTGACCAAGATGGTCTTCACATTCCCGGTGTCGTTATCAGCCGACTCGCCATTGCTAAGGCCCAGCTCCTGGACGGTCATCCTGTTGATGCTTCTGTGTAATTACGGTGCCTCCACATCGCAGATACTGCAGGAAGATGTTCCGGCTCTATAAGTGAAACACAAACCCGGCACCAGACCAATCAGTCGTGATACCGGTCGATCCAGGTTCTGCCATTTATATCACTATCGATGTTGTCATGCCCTTCGTATTGTGCTTTATTGTTTGCTTTTGCTGTATTCCTCCCCGTAGGGTGGTACGCAACACTCAGCGCAGTGATGCCCTACACCTTGTCAGCATCATGACGTTGGCACTACCCCCAGTCATAGTGACTAACTAGCCCGGTCATGGTCAGCGATACACCGTCCGAGGACTCAACGCCTGTACTAAGCTGTGGATGAGACGTGAAACCATCTTCTGCAGCTTATGCTCGAAAGCATGCTGGCGGGATGTAGGAGTCCATCCCTTTTCCGGTCTTGGAAGGAACAGTAGACAAGTTAGTTATGGAATATGGTCTGGCGGGCTGTTACGCGCCGATTACACCTTGCGTTGATGAGATTCGATCCACCTGGTCGCCCCGGGGGTGCTGGTTTGCATTCAAACCACCAAGGATACCTTGTATTCCATGGAGATAACTGATACCTGGCCGATCATTGCAGAGATTACTATGACTCTGTGAGCACGAGACGTTCAGGAGAGAATGCAATTCCGCGTACATGTGCGGAATTGGTGCAAACGACCAGTCATAGTCCTCAGGTTTGATGCTAGCGATGTGGAGATTTTCATTCAGAGTTGTATTAACAAGATGAATAGGCCCTCTACCTCTACCATCCAGGGCCTTGTAACCTGACGCAATCACCGAGGAATATATGTACGGCAAATCATATCCTCGGGAGCCTGACCGGTCAGGCCGGTGATTAGAGCATCGTCCACTCCTCGGAGAAGGACATGAATGTGCTCGATTGCCCGAACACTTTGCCAGTGCTCTCGATTCTTGAACCAGAGCAGCCTATCGCTTCGCTCGTCAACAACGGCGAACATCTTCCGCACAAAGCTTTCGATCAGTTGCTTCGACTCCGGAGTCAGGTCACCGTCATCCTTCACAGGGAGCGGTGTCTTTAACCATACCACCAGGTGGGTGATCTCCGACGTTGTTCCATATGGCCAGTCATTGCGAAGGATCCGGTAGTCTGCCGTGTTCGAAAATGGAACCGGATCGATATATGGAAGCCTGCCATTCACCGGGGGGTCCCAATGCAGTCGCTCACTCAGGACATAATGCATGACCGAGCCGTAGTTGGCCCTAATGTTCCAAGTCCAGAGAATGTAGTTCCGGAGATCCGAGGGGCCACGCTTCAGCACAGACAGATCTCCCTTCGCTGTTCGGCCATCAGCATCAGCATCAGCATCAGAACTAGTGATATCGGATTAAAGTGCATACCGATGACCTGCTTGATATCGTTCCAAGTGTGTGGGGTAAAATCATCCTCACTCATCAAGAGAGACTCCTTGTCGGATTCGCTGAGTTCGAACGGCGAACTCTTGATCAGCTCGTTGACATCCGCGGTTTCGACCATGGTCACGGGCATTCTGAGGTAGCACAAGGCTTGAAGTGGCGGATTCAGCCAAAGCCTTTTCTGAGGTGCAACCCAAATGAGCAAGCGTTGCGCCAGAATGCGTCACGATTGACGGCTAGTCCGTACGATGCGGGGTTTATAAGGCTATCGAGGGTCCCCTAGCAAAGAGCATTGGACTATGCATGGGGGAACCCTGCATCACAGCCCGGACGCGTTCGTGGGATTCGAGGCTGGGGTTCATGAATATGCAAGCCCGGTCAGACACATGGTCACGCGAGATGGGGGATTCCGCAACACCGGGACGGGGAGTAACCTTCTTTAGAGAGGTTATCCCAGGGCTTCCTCTACCAATTGTTTCAATTCTTTCGAAGCATCCAACCCATCATGACCGGAGTTCATCTCATCGCCACCCTTCGACCGGCTCCCGGCAAAGCGGCCGAGGTACATCCCTCCCATCCCTTGCCCGGGTCTGCTCTGATTCCCTCTCCGTTTACCCATTCTCCAGCTCCGACAGATCCTCTGTGAAACCGCACGAAATGTGGAACAGGTCGAACCCAGCTGTTTGACTTTCCTTGTGACGGAATGTCACCGGCCCGATGGCGCCGTAGAATTCAAAGTTGTGGAAAGGTAAGCAATTTGCCTCCGTCAGCGGCTTGACACGCCAACTGATTGATCTTCACCCCAGATGGGCAAGTCAGGAAGCCCTTGAGCAGCACCAGCAACGAGCCTGGCTGCGCACCATGTACGCGACCTTTGATGAGAAGCACTTGTTAGAGAGACCGGAGGAGATTGAGATGCTGGCGCTCATCTCGGGGTTTGCGGCACGCTAGAACGGACGCTCTTGTTCAGGACATTCTGCCTCTTTCCTAATGCTTACCTTCCCTACGGCATGGCTAGATGTACCCCCATGTAACACGGGCGGATTGATGTTGGCCACCCAGCTACCATTGTGGCTGCCTGGAGACCTCTTCCTGACATCACTCCATGTTTGATCGCCACCAAATGAACCCAACTATGCAGGTTGTCCAAGATCTGGAAAAAGCAAATGCAAAGATAGACCAAGTAACCGAATCCCAATGCTCGCTAGGGTAAAATGGACATGGACCTGGCTACCCTGTTTGGGTACTGGGAGCTCTCAGGTTGCACCGCCAACTTCCAAACCGGCCTGCCGATTCGAGGCCAGGAAACACAAGAAACAAAAGAGGATGGGATTCCCATCAATTCTGACTAATATACGAACTGAATGATCGCATTGTATCACCTCGGAGGGGTTTAGCTTCAGAAGAGTACAGTGGCGACAGTCAATGAAGATATACTGGGTAACTATATATCTCCACGAAAGGGGTTGACTGTGCCCTGCAGCCCTTTGCAGCTTTCTGCGACATTCTGCACTCTGAGGCAGCACAGACAACCTCGCCTCGTTCCCTTGCATACGCCCTGTTTCCCCCACCATGTCGGTCCAGAAGCTCCGGTCCTCAACCCCCTTCGCGGTCATTGTCGTCTGTGTCGCCGTCTTTACTGACATCTTCCTCTATGGGCTCGTGGTCCCCATGCTGCCCTTTGCTCTTGCCGACCGCGTGGGACTGTCCGACGGCGACATTCAGCGTTGGAATTCCATCCTGTTGGCTACCTATGGGGCGGCCATCATGTTGGGCTCATGTGCGTGCGTTGCCTGACCACCAATGCAGATCCTCACTGATCACTGATCCCCACGCATAGTGCTCTTTGGGTGGATGGGCGACCAAACCCGCACCAAGCAACTGCCCTTTTTGCTGGGGGTCGGGGTCATGGGAGGTGCTACTTTGCTCTTCTCTCTGACCACCTCGCTCCTTTTGATCATACTCGCTCGCGTTTTGCAGGGCTGCTCCACCGCGATCGTCTTTACGATCGGATTCAGTCTGCTGCTGGACACCGTGGGTGACCGACACATCGGGCGCGCCATTGGCTTTACGAGCATGAGCCTCAGCGTTGGCTTGTTCGCAGGGCCCATTGTAGGCGGGTTCTTGTACGACCTGGCTGGTTACTTTGCCGTCTTTATCCCGGCCTTTGTATTGGTCGCCCTGGAATTTCTTCTTCGAATGCTCCTCATCACACCACGACATGACCCCGAGGTCAAGCAGCCCATCACCGACGAGGATCAACGTCCCCTGATTCCAGGAACTGCAGGGCGACAGTCACCTCGAACCCCGGCTGTGTTCACCCTGATGCGCACCCCGCGATTCGCCGTGGCAATGCTCGGCATGTTCATGCTGAACTCGTTCATGACTGCCTACGAGGCCGTGCTGCCCGTCTATCTGCCCGAGGTATTCTTCTACCGGTCGACGCAAATTGCCATTGTCTTTCTGTCCAATACATTGCCTATGATCTGCTCCCCGGTCGGTGGATCGTTAGTAGACCACTTAGGTCCATTCTGGCCTGCAGTTCTGGGCTTCGGGCTTATCACCCCGAGCATGATGCTGCTCTCGTTGATCCGTGTGCCGGGGACGCTGCACTCGGTGCTGCTCCGGCTATTCCTGTTTTTGTTCGGCTGTGGAGTCTCCGTCGCTATGCCAGCCATGATGACCGAAATCACCCTGGCCAAGGACGCCATGGAGGAAGGGGAACCCGGAATCTTTGGGGATCGAGGGGCCTGTTCGCAGGCCTATGGGTTGAGTAATGCTGCGTTTGCAGGTGGGACTCTGGTAGGTCCTTTGTATGCCGGATACATGCGGGAGGCAGCTGGGTGGACAGCCATGAATATTTCCCTGGGGGTGTTCAGTGGATTGATGGTGGTTTTGATCATTATGTTTACTCCTAGAAAGAGGCCGGGTGTTGTACGAAGGACTCGGGCTTAAGCTTGGGAAAGAGTCATTTATGTAGACTAGTTGATACTCCTCAATCACTCATGAACAAAATGACATGTCCTTAGGATTGCTTCACAGCCATTGGCACCGGGTACTTATCGCTCTCAATAGTGTCTGGAAACGATAGCCCATTGGCCCGACGCACTTCATCCAGAATGCCCATCACTAGCAATGTTTCCTCCCACGGCAAGCTCATACTTTCCAGACGCCCATCACGAACACATCGGGCGACCTCATCCGCCTCAAAGCAGAGCCCGTGGGCTCCCCCTGGAATAGGAAACTGGAATTCGTCCACCTCTCCAACCATGCCGAACCTCTGCTCCCGTTTGACGATACGGTACTTCGATGGACACCATGGCCGTCCATACACTTGGATCTCCCCTTCATCACCCTGGATCCGCACCACTGGGGTCTCTCCATCAGAGTCTCCGGTGGCACGAAGACTAGCACTGGCAATTGCCTGCACCGAGGCTGGGGATGGTGGATTCGCCGGGAAGGTCATGATCAGCATTGTTGATTCATCCACGCCGGCAGAGCCAAGCGGTACCATTGTCGATAGAATAGTACTAGGCTTTCGATCCGGTAACTGATGAAGGGCCTGCAAGATCCAATGAATCGGATATACCCCCACTGTCCACATTATATCACCGTCAGCACCATCACTACCCCCGAGCCGAGACAAGCAAAACTCACAATCCATCAACGCACCCCCCGCCAACTCCCTCTTCGTAAGATAACTCTCCCTCAACTCGTGCAGTGCATCCGTCCCGATCGAATTATCCGCAACCACACGAACCACCGACCCAATAACCCCATCCTCAATCTCCTGACGAATCCGCACCGCAATAGGCAAAAGCCGCGTCCACAGGCCCTCCATAAGAAAACATCCCCGTTCACGCGCCGTGTCCATGAGTCTCTGGGCCTGATTCGCCGTCACCGTGAACGCCTTCTCACAAAGAACATGTTTCCCGGCACGTAAGGCCAGCATGGCATTCTGATAATGGTGAGAATGCGGCGAGGCGATATAGACGGCGTCTATGCGGGGGTCCGCCACCAGAGACTCGTAGCTACCATACGCAATGGTCGACGATGCCCCGATGCGGGTGATGAATTGTTGGGCGATCGTCGTGGATCGCGAAGATGCCACCGCCAGCAGTAGATGCGACACATCGGTGACGGATCGGGAGGAAGGGGGGTGGAGGAGGTCGCGGGCGAATGCTGGGGTTGGGGGTTGGTTAATGGGTGGTTTGTGGGGAGGGTTAGGATGGGATGGAGGGGGGGGGGATACTTTCGGCGATGGTTCCTGTGGCTGGGAAGGATGTCGTGGTTAGTTTTGTTGGGTGGGCTGGGAGGAAACAAACATACCGAGAATGCCCCAACGAAGACAGAATGGGGTGCTCGTGGGCGTGGGAGTAGAAACCATGCTAGTCTGGATGTCGATTGGATGTCAAGTACACTGGCATCTCATGAAGCCGTGGATGAAGCACAGTTCGCCAACGCGATATTGTAGGAGATGATCGGTGAGGACCGGTCAGATCCGTGGATGCAACTTCTGGGGATATGCCATCCCACTCCAGATGAATATCCTCCGAAGATTGATCGATGGGACTATCGGGGTGGCGCGGTGACAACTGGCATGGTGACGTCGGCCCTAAGTGAGGGCTTCTGATTGGCACAATCCTCGTGCAGGGATGGCTTCGTCCCACCATCGAGTTGGACGATGTCAGTGGCTGATCGGCACCAATCCGGGGAGTTCCATCCGAGGTGGTCTTGGACCGGGTCAATTTCGGATTCCAAGATGACACCGGGCAGGTCTGGATGGTGTCACTGCTGTCAATATGCAATGGCTGTCGCAGTGACCAGGAAACTGGCTAGGTGGCTCAAACGAACACGAGAATAGAATATGCCGTGCAACCATCTGCATCGATTCTCGTATCCCATGGGTTTTCCCATCGTCGTAGGAACCACCTTGCCGGGTTGATAGTGATAGGATAGGCACAGCATCCCCCGTGATAATCACCTCATATACAACGTCAACTTTGAGAACCTGCACTGTTTCAGAATGACAATCCCCTCGCATTGTCCCTGACCAGCCATGTCGGACACGGCCATTCCCACCACCATCCCCACCATCACCGAGAAAGAAATCGCAGCCATCCAAGATGCGATCCTCACTCGCACCTTGACCGGGAAGGGCAAATACACGGCCCTATGCCAGCGCTGGCTGGAATCATCTATGACCGGTGGCAAGGCATTTGTTCTGAGCTCATGCACATCGGCCCTCGAGATTGCCGCCCTTCTGGCAGACCTTCAACCCGGAGATGAAGTGATCGTGCCAAGCTACACCTACGTCTCCACGGTTAATGCCTTTGTCGTCCACGGGGCAGTGCCCGTCTTTGTCGACCTCGACGATGCTACCATGAACATCGATGCTCAGCTCATCGAGGCGGCGATCACACCCCGGACCAAAGCAATCGTGCCGGTCCACTATGCCGGGATCGCCTGCGACATGGATACTATCATGGCCATTGCCGACAAGCATGACCTGCTGGTGGTTGAAGATGCGGCCATGGCCTGCGGAGGAACATATAAGGGCCGGGCTCTCGGGGCCATCGGTCATCTGGGCTGCATCAGCTTCCAAGAGAAGAAAGTCTTCACCAGTGGAGGACAAGGCGGAGCCCTGCTCATCAATCAAGAATCCCTGATCCCCCGGGCAGAAACCATCTACGAACACGGCACAAATCGGGGACAGTTCCTGCGCGGTGAAGTCAACGTCTATCACTGGCTAGACGTCGGCATCAACGCTACCCTGAGCGAGATCCAAGCCGCCTTTCTCTATCCGCAGCTTCAAGCTGCCCCGGAGATCCTGGCGCATCGTCGCCACCTCTGGACACGCTATCACCAACGCTTAAGACCTCTGGACCAAGCCGGGGTCATCAAACTCCCCCGTCCCTCGAAGGAAGCCGTCCATAACGCCGCCGTCTTCTGGCTCCGGCTCACAGACGCCTCTCGCCGGCCAGAATTCATCCGACACATGGCAGCCGGGCAGGTCTGCACCCAGGCTCAATTCGTGCCGTTGCATTCTTCCCCGTTTGGCCAGCAGATTGGGCGGTTTCATGGTGAGGATCGTGTGACTACACGCGCGGCATCGGAGATCGTCCTCCTTCCTTTATATTCGGAGCTGGATGAGGAGCGTCAGGAGGTTGTTGTCCGGCGGGTTTTGAAGTTCTGGGATGGTGGGAAGGGCGAGTGAAGTTATCTTGGTTCTAGAGATGGGTTTATGATCGGCCATGTTGTGACTTGAGACTCCGCGTGGTGAATGTGGCACGTCCAAGGCAGTGAAGGGTATCAGAATATATATTTGGTGGGGTATTACAACTGAATATCTGACAACATGACGCACAAAAACCCATCAATCCATGATACAAATTAGGAGTACACTTTTTATTAGATGCTTGAGATATTATGAATTCGTCATTCGCAAGCCGCGCATGCAGTCAGTCATTTCAAATCCTGCCAGTCCTCAGCCTCAGCCTCAAGCCTTGTCCGCCACCTGACCCTCCTTGCCCTCCTTCGCCGTTTGGGACGGCGAGCTCAACACGCGACCCAATGACTTCAACCCATGACCCAGAATATACAACCCCAAACTCAGAAAGTTGATCCACAGGAGCGCGATGCAGTAGACCAAAGCCTGGGGAGGGATCCAGCGGAAGAGTTGAGTAGGATCGAATCCAGCCTTTTCCTTGAATTCGTCAATCTCCGCCAGGGCCGTGGTGGACGCGTCCGGCTGGTCGGCATCAGGGACAGTGCTCCAGTTCTCCATGTTAGGATCGTTGTAAATGACGGTGGCCAGGACTCCGCCGAAGAGGGTCAGGAACAACAAGAGGACGCCCTTGGAGAGCAGCTCGTACAGCCAGGTGCCGCAGAAGGAGAGATGCACGAGGGCCCCTCGGCGGGAACCATGATGGGCCGTGGCCAGAAGGTGAGCGAGGGTGCCCTCCTGGGGCTGGAAGCGAACGAGAAGCCGGCTGACGAGGAAGGTCAACAAGCTGATGGAGGCGATGGTGCCAAGGATGGTGGCTTCGGTGTTGAGGACGTTGATGGCGGTAAAGCTCAACGCTGTGGCAGCCCACGAGGTCAGAAAGAGAACGGCGAGCACGGTCGAAAGCCTCCCGGCGAGGCGAGCAAGAGAAGCGGCCATGGGAGGAGGAAGCAAGGAGGGAACGGGACACTTTGTCTTTCTCCATCCTTCGGGCGCGCTTCCAGTCTTTATATGCCATATGGTCGGCAGGCTTGGCGATAGAAGCCAAGGGCGCCGGACCCTTGGACCCTGAGATCCCGAAGGAGCCGAGGGAAGATTGGGTGTTGCCTATTCCCAAAACAGGCGTAGACGAGGCTATTCCAAGCCCAAAGCGGTATGAGGCAGTCCTTGGCCAAGACGGGCCCACTCCTTTGACCTTCATCTCATCTCATCTCAGCAGGCAGACACGGTTGCCTGGTGAATCAATCCCACGGATGCCTCCGGTCGCATCCGTTCCACTTCCAACATGTCACCACCTGTTCACATGTCCGGGTCGGACATCCGCACGTTCCTCCTCCACGACAAAGACGATTCCGGTCGGGCGTTCTTGGCTTGGTCCGAGAGCCGATGGAAAAATAAGGGTGGGCTTGGCGAGGAAAAGCTTAATCGGCGGGGATGTTTCAGGCGAGGCGATGGGATGGGATGTGATGCGATGCGATGCGATGCTATCCAGCGGGATCGAGCTGGTTCCTGTCATTTGGCAGCCGATGGAATGAATACTCGGAGAAATTGGCCCAATGACCGGCAGGAGCCATCCCGGTGACAAGGCCATCAGCACGCCGGTGACGATCATGTCGGGGACGGCAACAAGATTATCTTGGCGAACAGTAGGTGATAATGAGGGCGATGAGAAGCGAATGCGATCATGTCTGGAGCGATATCAATGTGTTAAGATGTCCAGTCCAACTCAGTCAGACCAATCTCGTCGCGAGATGGCCGTGTCGGACCAACTGGCGAACCAACTGGCGGAACAGCCGGAAAACCCCCGGGATTGCCCTATCGGTCGGCCAGGGTGCAGGAGATGCCCTCTCTGCGGGCTGCAGGAAAACCATCCAGTTCCCTTTGGTGGCCTGCTTGCATAACACGCACAGTGACCTACTTATTCCCAACACAACACCGCGCAATGGAGTGGTCAGTCGCCCCTACTCCCGCGCATTAGCCGAGTTTCATGAGTTTCCAGTAGAGTGACGGGCTGAATGCAGGCCTCAGCCCAGGGGCGGGACGGGCGGTTATTATGACCCTGTCAGATTGCATCTATGCCAGACAGACCCTGGTTCGATATGATGCAGCAATGCAGCAATGCAGCAATGGAGATTGCAGATTGCAGATTGCAAAGGACTGAATGTCCCGACAATCCTCCGAGGAATTGCCGAGGCTGTTCCAACTTCACAACGGCTTGTCGCGGCGAGTTCTGGTTCTCTTAAACGCCATGCTTACGGCCCACTCAGCCTGTCAATTTCCTCGTGTCTTTTTTTGAGATCACGGCAGACGGCGGCACGAACCATAGGAGAGCCCAATTATTATCTCTATCTCTGGGATGGATGGATGGATGGCACCCGGTCGGCTCTCGGATGCCACCTCCGATCGCTGGCCCGGATAAAAACTCTTTCGTCCGTTTCGTGGGCCAGCAACAACAATGATGATCGATCATGACTCTCACCCAATGGGCCGGGCTGATCGGTTCCTATGACCATCAACACCGTCATTGGGGGGCGATAACAGCCACCACCACCACCACCAGGCAAAGTCGACCGGCAAATGAAAAGGGGTCAGGCCAGGAACCAAACCCTGTTCGGCGCCTGTTCCTTGCCCCCTGGACGGTGTAAGCTTTCCGACAGCCCCAGTCGAGGCTCCACCCATGATGCCAACCGCAGCGCTTGGATGGCCCTGCCCGCACCTTCAGAACCGGCTCTCACTGTCGATCTCGTCCTTCCACAGCGCCCATTGCGTGCGTGGGTGTCCTCGCGCCAGTCGGAGCCCCGAGGAGGGGGCTCCATTATCTCGTCATGGTCCATGCTTCCCACCAGGGCCATGCCTTTTTTTTCCGGTGATTTTTTTCCCCGGCTACTTCGGTCGTCCTTGCTGAATGTTCCATCTCCCTGACTCGACAATTCCCATTCCACTGGTATTAACGCATTTCAATCTCGTGAATTCCTCCGCATTATGGACGACGGGGAAACCAGACGTCCACGAGCGAGGGTGAGTCATCCCCACGAGGTTGACATACCTCTGCTGCCTTCCAATGTCCCTGTACTGACCCATGCCCCGAGCAGTCCGATGCGGCCTCGCCTCGAGATGAAAATGTGCCTACATCTCCCCGATCACCCCGATCCCCCATGTCCCCTCGCCGGCGAGGCACGGCAGGCGACAGCGACTTCATCTCGCCTACTCGCCGCGCCACGGGCCTGGAGGACACCGGCAGTGGCGTCCGCCGCCGCAGTTCGGTGGCCTCGCGCCGCAGTGGTAGTGGTGTCCCCAGTTTGGCACCTCGAACCACCCTGGCTGAGCGCACCCAAGGCCGATTCACCATGGCCGGCCCGGACGAGACCCCTCAACTGCGTCTGGCCCATGAGCCGTTCGTCCAGCCCGGGTATGGCGATCTCAACCCGTCCTACGAGCAGCCCGCCAATGCCAAACCCGTCTGGGGATTGGCCAAACCCCTGCCCCGTGTCGTGCGGCCAGGCATGGTGCCCACCAAGGAGGAGCTGCTGGAAGCCCGGGCCAATATCCAGCTGCCGGCCGAGAACTCCCAGAAGCTGGGGTTGGACGTCGACCCCAATGACCTCGAGCAGGGACAGATCGAGAAGACGGCGGATCCGCGCAAGATGGCTGCCCAGGTGGAGGATGCGCGGCTGCAGCGAGAGAACAACTTCATGAACAAGATCCTGAGTGGCGATGCCACCACCACAAGACAAGGTTCGCGCCTCTCCCGCACCTCGTCCTCTCGCATCCGCCGGCCGTCGGCCTGGGATCTCCCCCCGGAGAACCTGTCCACCGTGCCCGAAGGCGAAACCCCTGACCCCAGTGACACCCAAGAGGTTCCCCAGCACCTGAGTGACGAGCCCTTGGAGCCCGTCCCTGAGGAGCCCGAGCTGCGCGCTGACGATGGGAAGGACGTGCTGGACGATCTCCCGAATCTGGAGGAGATCGAGGCGGCCTATCCGGACGACTTGCATCCTCTGGTGCAGGAGCTGGTGGAGGACGAGGTGCACAACAACCACACGACCTGGTCCGTCATCCGGACCCATCACCGCGAGGCGCTGGCCGAGTCCCTGGGCGTTTTCGTGCAGCTCTTCGTCGGCTTTTCGGTCGATCTGGCCGCGACGCTGGGGGGCAGCGGTAATCCCAACACCACCGCCTGGGGCTGGGGGTTTGCCACCATGATGGCCATCTACGTGTCCGGTGGTGTGTCGGGTGCCCACCTCAACCCGACCATCACCGTCATGCTCTGGTTCTACCGCGGTTTTCCCAAGCGGCTGATGCCCGAGTACTTTGCGGCCCAGTTTCTCGCGGCCTTCCTCGCCGCGCTGGCCGCCTACGGACTATACTACGAATCGATCACCCACTATCAGCTGAGCAATGCCAGCACCGATATCATCAACAGCTTTGTGACCAACCAGCGGGAGGCCTGGATTGGACCCGGCACGGCCTTTTTCACGGAATTCATGGGGACTATGGTTCTCTCGACGGTGGTATTGGCGCTGGGTGACGACCAGAACGCGCCTCCGGGGGCGGGCATGAACTCGCTGATTGTGGGCCTCATGGTGACCTGCCTGACCATGACCTTTGCCTATCAGACCGGTGCTGCACTCAATCCCAGTCGCGACTTTGGCCCGCGACTTGCCCTGCTGGCGGTAGGGTATCCCTCGTCGCTGTTCACCAACCCCTACTGGTTCTACGGGCCGTGGGCCGGCTCCTTGTCGGGCTCTTTCATGGGCGCGTTCCTGTATGACTTCTTCATCTTTACGGGTGGTGAGTCACCGGTCAACTACCCCTGGGAGCGCACCCAGCGGGCGATGCGGAAGAGTCGGATGAAGTGGGGGAAGCGATTGCGTCTGTCGCGGCTCTCGCGTCGCGAGCGGGGGGAGAAGACTGTTCGATAAGGACAGTAAGTTGGCTGGATTCTATTCAGGGGGGGTGGATTCCGTGGGTTGTCCTTGGTTGACCTGAGTTGACCTGAGTTGACCTGGGTTGACCTGGGTTGACCCGGGCTGACCCGGGCTTTCCTAGGGTTGTTTGTCAGGGGGTGTCTAATTCATCGATAGTCTGGACTTGATGAGCGAAGCATTAATATTGTACATACATATGTTCGTGTGATTACTGCGTTGTTCAATTGAGCTACGATATTTGTTTCTTCGAACTTTCTATTTACATTCTCGTTGGTGGTATTTCCGTGGCATTTATTCCGTGGCACTTCGTGGCCTCCATCCCATCCCATCGGCATCGGCTACTCAATCGGCATCCCGACTGTCACCAATCTCCATCCCAGACCGAGGAACCAGGATGATTCCCTGGAAAAGTGCCCTGGATCTTGTTATCTGGCCGGGTCGTCATCATGGACAGGTTCCTGTGCCCGGTTCCACTCCGGCCTCCTGTGACGTCACGAATGCCCCAAGCATCCGCTACCCTCCAGCAATCATTGTTATACGCGAAGCTGGCACATCGCATGACGCGAGAGATCTCCATCATGCCATCGCCATCGCCATCGCCATCGCCATCGCCCATCCGCAGTGTGAATTGACTCTGCGCGCCAAGCCAGCCGCCCCGACGCCCTCCATCCCAACCCTTACTGCCCCAATCACCCCCTCACACCGACATGGGCGAAGATGATAACGGACTCGACTCAATTTCTCCCCTTCGCAAAGTCACTTCCTCCGTGACCTGGGGCTGGTATGCCATCTCGCTCAGCTGGGGCGGGATCGCCGTGCTCCTGTATCAAACCCCCCACCAATTCACCGGCCTGACCACCATCGGCACCATCATCTTCATCGCCAACCTCGTCCTCTACACCACCGTCACCCTGTGCCTCCTCTTCGAAGCCGTCCATCCCCGCAAAATCCCCAAACCCATCGAAGAATCCCCCAGCTTCTCAGCCCGATGGCTACATATCAAAAAACCCCAAGACCTCTACTTCGTCCCCGTGTCCCTCCTCGCCTTCGCCACCATCATCTTCTGCACCTCCTCCTACGGCACTCCCCACTGCGGCCGATGGCTCATCCTCACCCTCAACGTCTTCTTCTGGATCTACACCGGCGTCTCCCTCCTCCTCGCCATCATCCTAGGCTGGTGGATCCCCTACACCGGCACCAACCCCAACCAACACTACGCCATCGTTCAAGTCCTGCCCTACTTCCCCCCAATGCTCAGCGGGACTATGGCCGGCCTACTCGCCCCAAACCAAGCCCCCGCCCAAGCCATCCCCATGCTCGTCGGCGGAACCACCATGCAAGGGCTCGGATTCCTCATGTTCCTCGTCATTCTGGTGCAAAGCATGCACGAACTCACCACCGAAGGCCTCCCGACCCCATCCGTCCGTCCGGAGATGTTCATCGCAGTCGGACCCCCCAGCTTCACCATCATCGCCATGGTCAGCATGGCCTCTGCGGCCGTGAAAAAGCTCCCAGACCACTACATCAGTTCGGCAACGAGCGTGCGCACCGCCGACGTGCTGTTGATCGTCACCGTCGCAGCCTCGGTATTCCTCTGGTCACTCGCCTTCTTCCTCTTCTGCATCGCAGCACTGAGCATGCTCGAGGCACTCTGGCATCGAACGATCCGGTTCGAAACCCTCTGGTGGTGCATGGTATTCCCGATCACGGGGTTCGTGCTCGCGACGATTGATCTCGCGGAGTATTTGAGTTCGGCGCCGATTTCGTGGGTGAGTACCGGGATGACGCTTTTTCAGGTTACGTTGTGGTTGTCCATCACGGTGTGTCAGTTGGTTTGGTGGGTGGTTAAGAGGGAGTTTTAGACATATGCTTTTTTGGAGTACGGGTGTTTTTGGGTAGATGCATAGCGGGCTATGCTTCAGATGTTGGTTTGCTAGTATTAGTCTTTGTTGTTAGCGTGGTGTCTTCTTTTCATCTGTGGGATAAATCTTTATAGTGAGGGTTGAAAGACGATAGATATGGGGGTATTTTTCTAGGATAGTTTTAATCGATTGTTCTAAGGCCGATGAGGAACTCAGATCTAGGAGTAATATGAAATGTGAACGAGATCTGGTCGACAGATATAAGGAATTGACAAAAGCCGCCTTAGTTCAGCTGTAAGTCTACACGCGAAGAATAGCAATTTCCTCAGTCCTCTGCATGTCATCGACCCTTCCGGTAGCCACCGCTCTTCTCCTGCCCTCGGCATCCTCCATCCACTTGATCGGCCCGGGGGGTAGTCCCTCCTTCGATAAGTTGGTCCACTGCAACGCCTGACGAATACCCTCATCCAACTCAGGAAGCATCCCGGTCGTGAACTTGAATCCTCCGCCGAACTGAGACGGAATTTTGTCGTGATCAACATGCTTCAGCATCGTATCATACGCATCCGCAGACTTCGTAATCACGAGCTTCTCGGCGGTGACGGGGTCGACGAAGTGCTTCATAAAAGCCCATATCCGAGGGAAGTAGAACGGGGCATTGCCGACCTAATGCCCGTCAACAGAGGATAATTGGGGGTAGTCACCTGCGGTACTCACGAATATCCGATCAATGGTCTCCGGATAGCAGGTCGTTAGTAGCCCGCTGATATCCCGCGCAACGTCCCGCACGTCCCAGGACTGCTTGATACCGAGCGAGGATGCATCTACAATGTATACAGCCTTGGTGATGGGGGTGGCAGGGTCGGGTCGGTCTGCCATGGCCGAACACAGAGGTAGCACAAACCGCGTGATGGTATCGAAATGAATTGCCGCCCGTTGAATCATGACGGGGTTGATTGCTGTCGAAGCAACATCAGAATTGCAGGGTATCTGGCGCGTCTTCTGCCACGTTGCTATGGTGGACGAATCCCAATGGGCGATATCAAACATGAGGATGGGCTGGCCTTGGCGATCCCGCTGTCCGGTCCAGTGAGGGTACTACAATGTATCAGATACCGTGACATACCAGTAACGGAAGATCACCGCGCACCATTTTCCGGGTCTCTTCATAATTTTCCAGAGAGATCCGGTCATAGAGCTGCAGCACGTGTTTTTCGGTGTGAAACTTGGTCGCCTCTTGAAATTGCTGCAGGGCAGCTTCTGGGTCCATCTTGCGTGCATCCAGATATCGTCTACATCTGTCAGTCAGGAGTACTAGCTCAAGTGGAGTGAAGACCTACAGTAGCGTCGCATCATCATTGATTCCATCAGGGACATCACCATCTTGCAACCCCTCTCGAGGCGCCAACAGACCCTCTGCGGTACAGGAGGCCTTGAAGGCCGCCAAGACTGCGGTCTGGTCTGTGGCCAGCTCTCCCATTGTGTGATTCCGAGATAACGAAGAGCCCGGATTGGGGTGTTCAGGTCTGGAAAGCTTCCGGTCCAAGATTCTGACCGAATCCAGGAGCTGGCTGGACCGGTGAGTCGATACAGCCGAGTGGAAAAAGCAAGCAAGGCGGCGGGTAAACATAGCCGCCGCGGCTGCTGCTGTTGCTCCCTCCGGGCCACATGACAGCAGGCAGCCCTTGCAGCCGCCTGCACGACTGCGTTGTCCTGGCAGTCATTGTCGCATCACCCTGGCCGTGTCCAGGGTCGGGTTGCACTTGCCTGCGATCGGGTGCACGAGATGATGGAGCATCACTGCTGCCATCCAATGGTCATTGGAATTGGGCCCAGTGAGATGATACCCCACTATGATCGGCCCCAAGAGATTTACACTGAAGATCTCTGGTTCCTTGTTGTTTGTCACGCAGTGGCCGATCTGATTGGTTCCTGTGGACCGGCCAGGATGAAGTCAACGACTTAGGCTTTGGGCTGCCCATCCTGGGTTGGGGGCCGATGCGCACTACACACTATCTATGTACCATAGAAGATTCCGAGAATACAGCACGACCCCGACATCCTCGGGTTGAATGCGGAATAGTGATGATATCAAGCATTGCCGAAGTGCCGATAGCTCTGACCGGATCAAAGATCCGGCCATCTGCAGGTATTCTTGGTGGATCGGGTGGGGAGCCGAACCCTGGCACACATCATCACGACGCAACCCTGGTTCGCGCTTCACCCCAGCGGGAGGGCCATTGGATCCTTTCGCCATCTCCATCTCCATCAGATCTTGTTAATCTTCTCGATGCGAACTCTGCTTCAGATGGGATCATCCCGATGATGAAAACTGGTGAAGTGCGAATTACGCTGGGGGGCTCGTCATGGATGTGGCGGCTCTCTCACTGGGTTTGAGATGGTCGCCTCCAACTCTGGATTTAAGAGGACCAGCAGTCGTAGGAGATATGACCTGTCGCTCATCGTCCTCTGGTATATTCCAATTGATCGGTAGGAAGAATCTTTCGCAATATGGCGCAAATAGAAGCCCCTCTCGACACATCCTACCCCGTCCCTCGGGCTTCAGGCGAGATCCATGGATTCTGCGACGCCTACCCTCTGCGACGGCATAAGTTTGAAGACGCGGCCAATGACGGCTCCTTACAATGTCGTGCCGACTGGGAGACATACATTGGTCCGACAGAACGCTGGGGATGCGGCAACCCGTGGGAGGGTCACTTTGCAGCGGTCGTCCTGCCTTTCTGTCGGCCTGATCGCATCGCAGTCATCAGCTATATCTTCGAGTGTAAGAAATCAGACCGACCACTCTTCACTGTTCTGGGTGTCGACTGATGTTGAACAGATGCGTTTTTGTATGACAGCGTGGTGGAGTCGGTGGAAAGGTCTACGGTATGTGGCTAGGCGTACTTCCTGAAGGGACGAGATCTGACAAGGACAGTTGAACATCAACGCAGACGACATTGCCCTCGATGAAACGGAATACCGAACCGTGCGGTCCATCACCGGCACCAAGCAGATCCAGTCTAAAATGCTTCTCGAGCTGCTCTCGATTGATCCTCAATGCGCCGAGGTCGTTATTGACGCCTGGAAAACCATGATCAGCACGACAGCCAAGCAGGACAAGACGCGAACGTTCAGCAATCTGGAGGATTATGTGAACTATCGGATAATTGACACGGGGGCACCGTAAGATCAGCTACTCTTTTGCTTTCGTATCTAATCAGTCACAGATTCGTCGATACCCTGATGCGCTTCGGAATGGACATCAATCTGACACCTGATGAGGAGGAGCTCGTCGCTCCAATTGTCAAGCCATGCTATGCTGCCCTCGGGTTGGCCAATGACTACTTTTCCTTCGACGTCGAATGGGGGGAATTCCAAAAAGAAGATTCAGACAGAAAGGCCATGACGAATGCGGTGTGGTTATTCATGCAATGGCACCATGTGGACGAGCAAGAGGCGAAACGATGTGTCCAGCAGGTGACAAACGAGTACGAGAAGGAATACCAACAACGAGTACATGGTTTCCTATCAGGCCACGGGAAGGAGAACGCCAAGTTGCACACATACCTCAGCGCCCTGGGGTATCAAATCCCGGGAAATGTGTCCTGGAGTCTCCGATGCCCCCGTTACCATCCCTGGCTCTGTGGGGAAGCCAGCGCTATCTTGCAGGATTCGACTGGTGAGACTCAGAACCTGAAGCGACGGAGTATCTCAGGAGAGAGTGATACATCTCAGTCATCAGTCTGGTCCGATGCTGGTGACAGCTCTCCTCGATCGTCGATATCCTCGGCTCCTTCTATGGATGTCAGCAAGCTGTCCGACCGGGCACACCTAGGATCCGAGGTAAGAATACTTCCAGCCTGATGGCTCTGATCAAATCCACTGACGAGTCACACAGCGTCTTATGAGTCCCGCAGAGTATATCAGCTCCCTTCCCTCCAAAGGAGTCCGGGAGGCATTTATCGATGCCTTGAATGTGTGGCTCGTTCTGCCGTATAACCATGTTAATGTCTTGAAATCGATCGCGAAGACATTACATAACGCGTCGCTGATGTAATTTCTCTAACCCAAAGATGTAATTTGCTTGACATCTGCTGATCGCGCTAAAGGCTGGACGATATCGAAGACTCCTCGCCTCTCCGCCGTGGCCAGCCCGCGACGCACACCATCTTCGGAGAGGGACCGACGATCAACTCCGCCAATTTCCTGCTCATCCAGGCCATGGACCAGGTGAGGCAGTTGGAGGACCCAGCGTGTTTGGACATCTTCGTCGAGGACATGCGCAACCTCTTCATCGGGCAAAGCCATGATTTGTACTGGACGCAGCAGGGCGAGTGCCCAGCAGAGGACGAATACATGGAGATGATCCGGCAAAGTAAGCACAGGATTATCCTCCACTCTGTTGCGATCTGCTGACTCGTATGTTCAGAAACCGGTGGTCTCTTCCGACTGTTAGCTCGCTTAATGATGCAGAAAGCACCAGCTCAGCAAAATCGGTAGGCGCGGTATATCTCATCTGAAAGCAAATGCCACTACTCACAAATGATAGTAATATCTCACTGGACCCCCTCATCAACCTCCTAGGAGAATACTTCCAGATCCGAGATGATTACAAGAACTTGACAGAAGAGGTAAGCTCAGCCACGAATCACAACTTCCCAAATAACTAACGCCAGAAACGCAGTATACCGGCCAAAAAGGCTTTTGTGAAGACTTGGACGAGGGAAAGTTCTCTTTCCCATTAATCCATGCTCTAAGGTCACATCCTGAAGACTTGGAGCTCCGAGAGATCCTACAACGAGCCCGTGAGTCCGGCGGACTCGATGTATCGTCGAAACAGTGTGTGCTGGACCATTTCCACCAAAACGGGAGCATGGAGTACACGCAACAGACGCTTCGAGACCTAATGGAGGAGATCAAGGATCGAATCGGTCAGGTGGAGAAGGAAGCGGGCAGCTCGAATTGGGTTCTCAGGCTGCTCGTTCACAGATTGGAAGTGTGATGGCACACTTCAGATGACGAGATTAATGACTTAGAGCTTTGTTAAACACCATTGTATATGTGATATCTAGCACTAGGGTGGTTTTAGAGATCTCATGCAAGACGAGACGATTTGATCTTAATGCCATCAACTCTTCTATAGCTGAGAATTTCATGGACATGGGTCTCATGCTTACGCCGTTATGATTCATTCGTCCATCGACCAGAAACATGCCTGTGGCCAAGGGGTCTAATCTATTGTCATTCGACATCGAAGAGCAAAGCAGAGTATATCAAAGATGCGGCACGTAGTCAGACCAGCTGACTGTGTTATAAGCAGTGGCAGGCAAACTGCGCAATCCAATAAAGTCCTCCGTGAGGATATAGGCTCGACCCACACAATACATCGCGCAGAGTATTGTGGTCGGCAAAAGCACTCGCAGAGGGACCTCCCTCCGCGGATCTCGGCACGGGTCGATGTTTCTCAATCTCGCCGCGAGGCGTCGAAGACTATCACATCGCTTGTCCGATTTCTCTGAGGGTTTTGTCCTGGACAATGGAAGAGTCAACCGCTCCTGATACGCTCTGGGGAGAACAATCTTATCACAGTACCCGGCATGCAACCCGCCTACGACAGTGAAGACTAGGTTGTAGATGCTGGCGATCCGCCACAGGATGTGTTCGGCGCGTGAGGGGAAGTGGAAATCCCAGGTCACCATGAACATCGAACCGAACAGAAGGAGTACTGGTGTGGCGATGCAGTCTGCCTCCATATCCGTGACCGGGAAGGTATCGCTGGGGATTCGATCGCGTGGTCGAGCAGTCATGGGGCGTGAGAACATCGGGATCCGCCATCGTCGCAAGATCTCCGTGTAGTAGCGCCAGTGCACGCCACAAAAGGAGACATCATCGCATACAAAATCCAGTGGCGTCTCGTGCCATGGCCTTCGTGGGGTAGGACAGTTCTGCCGCCAGGAGACCTGTCAGTGGGACACTCAAGCAGTGACGGGTGCATCGAACCTCTTGGCGAATGGTGTCAATATGCGTGTGGGCTAACACAGTAATAGTGCTTGTGATGTCTGACGGCTTGAAGCGCCAGCAGAACGATGTCACCAGGAACACGATCATAAAAGATATGGTGGTGAGCTCCAAGGTCGTCAGGGCAAGCCCCTGGGCTAAGCGTATGGCACAGTTGATGAGAAGCCAGAGCGCTTGACCGACCGCGATCACCCTACATGAACATCGGTCAGCCATGAGAAGTGTTCCATATAAGTTCGAGACCCACCGAGATACCGCGTCCGATTTGTTGCGATCGTTGATGTCGTCTTCAGTGATCCCAGGGGGGGTCGATGTAGCCCTTGTCGATCAGGAAGAAAAGCTGCTTTGCATTGACCGGGAATGGCGTGTCAACCCCCGGACCATCCAACAGGAATCCCCCCATATCGGCATAGTACGCATGTGTCAAGGTCTAGGGAGATGATTCGGAGGTATTCGCCGCCGCTAGACGCTCAAAGTCCTGGCCCGGTCATTAGATGGTTTGAGCGGCGAATGAGCTGACACAGCAGGAGAATGGAACCTTGACAGACGCCCGGGTAGAAGACCATTGCCCAAGGGCCAGCATGAGCAGGAACTCGGGGCCCAGGAGCCCAAGGGAGGCCAGATGTAGTCGGTCGCGCAGGGCGTGATGCCATCGGTCGGAGCGGGCGGGGATGTTGGGCATGACGGCTGTCCAGCAGCACAGAGCAATGGTCACCAAGCACGTCGAGACGATACTCCAGGTGCCGCGGCCATTGGGTTCGCCCACCCAGCCATCGAGCACGACCGTCGCGGAGGTGGAATTGGCAGGCATGGGGGAATGCGACCGCGACTAATCTCCGAGGGATGGGATGGGATGGTCTCCCCCCATCGCGGGCGGACCGACTTGCATTATAACCCTGCACGCGCCGGCCACTGAGACCATCAACGCACAGGCGCCCATCTGAAACCTCTCCAGGCGAACAGCAGCAGAGGACTAGGCCAGTGGCTGTACCAATCGAGAGACCCTGCCTCCAGTTCAGTTGTGCAGTCAATGGAAGGCGACCAATCAGTGCGATCGCCAAGAGAAAATGACTGTCAATTTTAGCACGGGCCGGACCGTTAGGTTCAATAGGTCTCACAGTTGTCTCTCTCCCTGTTTCGCCCTGTCTTTTCCCCTGTCTTTTCCCCTGTCTTTTCCCCTGTCTTTTCCCCTCTCTCTATTCCTCTCTCTTCCTCTGGCTCTACTCCAGGCTGTGCTGATCGGTGCAAAGTTCTGAGGTAGCCTGCTTGGGACCAAGTTTAGGCACCAAGACAACCCACCTCCACTGAACGGGGTCAGCCAGATTTCTTATTCTGGCTATACAGAAGTTGATGAGATCCGTGATGTAGGCCGATATCGTTCATGATATCGTTAGTGGTGGGGGGCCAAGGATGTCGCAAATCAGGACCATTCCGACAGGCGCTGGTTGCCTGCCGGCCGCCTCATCACCATAAAAGCCCTCGTGCTCTGCACCCTAATGCTCATTTCAATCTATCTTTCGGGCGCAGCTTTACAGCCATGACTGCTAATCCCCCAGCCCGTTGCTGCACGGTGGGGTACCTGCACGAGGGCCAAGCCAAGGGGGGGGATCCGGGTGATTGCAGGCAGTGAGTCCGCGATGCGCTCGCTACAACATGGCCCCGCCCTGCCACTGACCGTCTTGTAGTCTCGACATAGTATGTCTCCTATCCACCGGACCGGTCCACGGAGAATTCCATCCTCTTCCTCACCGACGCGATGGGGCACCGCTTCATCAATGCCCAATTGATCGCCGATCAGTTTGCCGCCAATGGCTACTTCGTTGTCATGCCGGAGCTCTTTCATGGTGACCCTATTCCGATCAACTACGGGGCCGAGTTCGATATCTGGGGCTGGTACGAGAAGCATCTGCCCCCTCGGGTAGATCCCATTGTCGACGCCATCCTTGGGGAGATGCGCACCACCCTTGGCTGCAAGCAAATCGGAGGCGTTGGGTATTGTTTCGGGGGAAAGTATGTATGTCGATACCTCAAGACTGGCAAGCTGGACGCGGGATTCATTGCCCACCCGACCATGGTGGAGGCGGACGAGGTGGAGGGGATCGAGTGACCATTAAGTATCGCAGCAGCGAGTGAGTCGGGCCCTTTTCTTGCATTCTTCGAGGTTAGTCTGACCGTCTGTGAGTTACCGATGCTGTCTTCACCACTGCCAAACGCCACGAGAGCGAGGAGATACTAGGTCAACTTGGGTTTCCATTCCAAATCAATTTATTCTCTGATGTGGAGCACGGCTTTGCGGTCCGATGCGACCTGTCGCAGCGCCGGCAGAAGTTCGCCAAAGAAAAGGCATTTGAGCAGGCTGTGGCGTGGTTTGATGAGTACGTCAAGGAATGAGGGAATATGCGAATGGGGTCGAATGTATCATAGGCGCCCTCTAGATAGATTGAGAAAGAAGAATCCATTCTGACCACCCAACTCCGAGACTGCGCTGGTGCCTGGCGCCTAGTGCCTGGCGCCTAGTGCCACCCTACTGTAGAGCAGGGTTGATGGTGTAGATAGCATCACCACTCGTCCGTCGGACGGTCCGGATGATCGGAGGTCCGAAGGCATTTCACGGTTGTGTAGACCCTGAGGGGGCCCCACTGTCAGGCTTTAGTTTGAAGTTTCCTCTGGCTGCCAGGGACTGCAGCCAAGCTCTGCACTATCGTCTTGGTCCCCGACACCTCGTTGACTGAGGTTGATGCCGTTTTACCCATCCTCGGCTTCTATCTTCAAGGAGAAATCGCTCCTTCTCTTTTGCCGCCCTCAAACCCCCATACGAAGATTAAGGTACGTCCCCGCATCTATACGTCGGTTTGGGGAGTGCCCTGCTACCCATCTAGCTTCCCAGTCTGTCATTACTGCACGAGAACCTTACATCGACAACGGCCAGGTACCCTCTGCCGGGACACCTGTACCAGGATACCACTCCGTTCCGGTCTCTGCACTAAGATGGTGGGGGTGAGTGAAGGATTTCCACGGTTTTCTGAAGATGGAGTAAAGTTTATCAGCCGTCGTCGTGAAGCCTTGCGGAATCCGGCAAGGGATCATCGGTAGGAGACGTTCCACCACGGATGCTCATTTAATCTGTAACCTTCAGACCACAACCCAAGGACATCACCATAATTCAGGGCGTGCCTTCATCCAGTGGATTCGATGTCTGTTCACGTTGAAAGGGACTAAATCAGTGCTATCTTTTAGGCCGGTCGTGCGGGGAAAATCTTTATCCGGCCAGGAATCAGGGTCCCAGATAAACTGGATACACGATTGATAACACTGCACGGGACTTTGGGGACCCATGTCTCCTCAACGACATTACACCGACCCTCTCGAGGCTTCTCCATCCAGCTCCTGACTTCAAGTCATATAGCCAGGGCTCGATGGCAGACAAGGCCGTGACGAATATGATACTTGCGCCTTAAGGTGACGGGGAGGATGCGCCGATAGCCTGGGCTACCATTATCCCCAGGTCACCGTCGGAGCAGGCGTCATCTGTTCAGCACCTGTTTACGTCGCAAATGCGATTGGTATCATTAACCCTGCACGGTGGAGCCTACCACGCAAGCTTGGCTTGTTTGGTGTGAACTTGTTTATGTCGGAAGACCGCCGGTCCTCCGGAGTACGATAGGCAACTATAGTCACGTGATGCCCCTTTTCCATACTGCTACTTTGCCTATATAGAGGCTGTCAGTAGTAATACTTTAGATAGTTATTTAATTTATTTATTCCTACTGAATCTATATTGTATCACTTCGGTAACTATTCCAACAGATTATAAGTTCTTTAGACTAGTAATATGATTAACAAGAATCACTTAATTATTTTATTAATAAGTCTATTAAGATAATTATTTTACTCTTTTTCTATATATGATACTAGTAACTTATATTAATTAAATTAAGCCTTATTAAATCTCTCCGAATCCTAATAGAGATAATAATCAAGTCTTTATATAAGATAATTATTATTATATTATTCTTCCTACCTCTAAACAAGCAGAAAAATATATTAAAATAACTTTTATAATTTATAATATTGTAGCAGCTGAAGAAGCCAAATCAACTATCTAATTAGAGAATAGAATTATCAATATTAAAGATTTTCTTAATACTAAGATAAATACTAATCTATAAAGCTAAATAAATAATTTATGAAAGAAGTTATACAGATTACTTCAGGGAGTCCCAGAACTTCTTAATAGATACAAAAATTTTGAATATTAATATTTTTAGATAAAAACAATATTATAATCATTAATATTATACTAACTCATTTAAAGTAAGCTATCTAAACTGGAGTAAAGCAATTCTTTATATAATCTTTAGTATAGATTATCTAGTATAATATATATCTAGCTATTAAAATAATTATTCAAGAATATTAATAAATATTTTATTAGAGCTAGAGAAAGGAGAGAATTTGCGGATAATATATATAATATTATTATTAAGATGACTTTCAGTAAAGACTTAGTTGTCAAACCCTAGGATCGCTTCTCCCTGTTCCTGTTAGCTTAGCTTCTGTTCCGAGTCGTACCTTTGAACTGGATCAAAGTAGGTCAGGTCGATGACTATCTAAAGAGAACTGGTCCTGAATAGAAGAAGAGAAGTAAGGCCAGATAGTGCCGCGCAGCTATCTGTAAGTAAATGTAGACAAGTATTATCACTAAGCTTTATCAAAACATATGGTTACTTAAAGACAGTGTTATTGAGCATGAAGAACAGAGCTAATTAAGTACGTGAAGGAGTGTCCTTATATACCCTGTTCTCTGTATACTATGTTGTATACCATCCCATATATCACAGACATATACCATATACCCGGCCATATACCTTCTCATATACCCGCAGTCACGTGATATGTGGTATGTGGCGGATTAGTTCAGGTTCTGCCTGATAAGAGTTGCACCTCTCCGGGTGTAGCCCTTCTGCCTGACGTAACCGCCTCACTAGTTCCTTTAGCTAGCAGGGGTCCGTAACATTAGTTAAGATAATTAACATCTGTATAGCCCTAGTCTTTAAATTTAGAAGTAATTATTTAATAATTATATAATATATTAACAGCTTTATAAATACTTTTATTACTATATAGAAAATGAGATATAAGATACTACCTTTTCTAATTATCTGTATTTTATTAAGTAATTTAAAAGTTAAACTGCTAATATAAATAGTATCTATACAAATAACACTCCTGCTGACTAAACTGAATATACTTATTAATATAAGATTTTACAAATACTACAAGGAAATTATAGTAATTAAAAATAGTCTTAATATAAAGCACCTGGCAGTCTTAGTATTAATTATCTAAATAGCTCCTACACTTAGAAAAGATAACTGGAAAAAGAAGTTTTTTTAATAATAGATATATTACCAGATAATTATATAAAAAAGATAAAGAATCAGCAGTCATAAAAACTTAACAATAAAAGATTTATATAATATTATTTTATTAAATACAGTACTTTGCTCTGTTACTATTTGGATCCTAATCTTAAATCATTATATTAAAAGTTAATAAAAAGACTTTGGGCGTATCAGCCACTATTTAAAATATTAAAAAATATCTGAAGTAAGTGCTTGTCAAACCCTAGGATCGCTTCTCCCTGTTCCTGTTAGCTTAGCTTCTATTCCAAGGCGTACCGTTGAACTGAATCAAGGCAAGTCAGGTTGATAACTATCTAAAGGAAACTGGTCCTAAACAGAAGAAGAGAAGTAAGGCCAGATAGTGCCGTGCAGCTATCCGTAAGTAAGTGCGGACGAGTGTTGTTACTAAGCTTTATCAAAACATATGGTTACTTAAAGACAGTGTTATTGAGCACGAAGAACAGAACTAACTAAGTACATGAAAGAGTATTCTTATATCCTATTCTTCATATACCATTTCATATACCATTCAGGGTAGATCGAGGGTCGATCTAATCATGTTCCGGGATTCCGTATACCATATCGTATACCCTCGATGGTAGATCTGATGGTAGATGGTCACGTGACACAGCGCTGCCTCGGACGTTACTCCGACCGGGATGTTACTCAATAAGAGTTGCTGGCTGCCCGAGTCTTGCCTGGTCATTACTTTCTGCCTGACGGGTCCGCTCCGCTAGTAACCTGGCTAGCAGGGGTCTGTAACAGTGCTATGATATACAGAAAATAAAATTCTAATAATATTCATCTTAATAAAATAGTAGTAATAACTAACCTGAATAAATTTAATACCTGGATATATAATATAAGCAGTTTTTATTATTTAATTCTTAATCTTATTATATTAACAGATTTCCATAGTCTTCAGTTATATAAGTATTACTCATATGATATCTTACAAGATATTACAATAATAATTAAATTAATAGAATATATAACAATCTATCTGGAGTCTCTGACTGGGGGTTTAATATTATTAAAGATTAAGATATATTATTAATCTAATCTGAAGTACAGTCTTCTCTCAGTAAACTAACTTTATATTAATTATAATTTACATATTATTATTAAAAAATCAGATTTTATAAGATCTTTATACAGATAGACCAAAGAATCACCTTGAAATACTAAAAAATATTATCTTTATCTGTTTTACTAAATTAATAAATATTACTATCTTAATACCCGTACTGGAATCCATACTTTAATATTAATAACTTAAATATATAGGATTCTATAATATAATATTAAGAAATCATTAGTTAATAAATTACAAGTTCTGTTATCTTATTAAAGTTAAGCAATTTATTTTATATAATTTTATTTCATAAATCATTAATTTCACAGAACTTTAGTATATAAATATTTAAATAGTGACTCTGATTGGATATAACAAAATAAAATATTATCTGATTATAATTAATAATATTATATATTCAATAAGAATTATATTATTTTATATAAAGACAGAAACCTCACAGGAACTTATCAAGATAAATTTCTAATATAAGAATCTTATTAACTGCTATCTGGCAGTCTGATATCTTAAGAATAACAAAAAAGCTTACTCACTTCAAGATATAGATAATTTATAAAGATTAAGATATATATATAATAATATCACCTTCTCAGATATTCAAAGCAAACAGTCTTTCAAAATAATATAACAGCATTATTAATTAAATAACAAGAATTATTATAATAAACTCCAGTCTATCTAGCTATTTATAATTATTTACTATTAAGTTAAGTGTCAAACCCTAGGATCGCTTCTCCCTGTTCCTGTTAGCTTAGCTCCCGTTCCAATACGTACCTTGTGAACTGAATCAAAGGTAGTCAGGTTGTTGACTATCTAAAGATGACTTGATCTGAACAGAAGAAGAGAAGTAAGGCCAGATAGTGCCGCGCAGCTATCCGTAAGTAAGTGCG